CCGCCGTTCATCGGCACACCGTGGACGCCGAAGGGCTCCGGCATCATGGGACCGTTGGTTGGGAGGTTGTCGGGGTAGTGTACGAGGGAGGGGCCGGTCGAGGGCAGCTCGGGCGCAATGGTGGTCGGGATGGCCGACAGGGGCGTCGTGGACTCAGGCTGATACTCGGCGGGCTGATACGGCGTCGCCCCGCCCGTAGTCTGCTCGAAGACATCAGCGGCTGGGAAGTTAGAGGATTTTGTGGTTGGACGCACCGGAAGGCCCATGAAGGTGCGAATGTCGCCGGGGACGACCACCGGGCCGGCCTCTGCGGCCAACGTCTCTCCTAACTCGCGCTAGAGTATAGAATGAGTATCGAGTCCAATTCATGAATCGTCAACGCGAATATGCATACCAAGAACGCCTTGTCTTCGTCCGACATAATGGTAAAGTCAATGTGAGGGGCATTAGTGAAGTCGGGGGTCCAGTCGAAGTTGTCCACGACGTTGGAGCTGTTCGTGTTGGAGCCGTCCATGTCGACGATAGTCGCGCGGATGATAGTAGGAAGAGAGATGAGTGCGAGAGAGGATGGGGGGATGAGGACTGATTCTGTATGGCGCGTGCGCGAAGTTATATACTCTGGTAGAGTACGGAAGAGTCGGACACAGGTGGGGTGTTTTAGAAAACCTGTGCTCTTTGCGGCCTTTCACTTATATTGGACCTCAAGTGCGCGAAGCGATAAGATCATATCATTGGCATTCCCGAAAAACCCCGGTATGGTCCGGATCTGCTCGGCAAGCGGGGTTGGATGCGCGCTCTTACGATCTCTGAGTTCTGCGCACAGATCATCGGATAATCGGCGGCCATATTAAACCACACAGTGGGTAAGAGTTACGTCGTATCTCATAAAGAGTCGGTACGCCAGCTCTCTGTGACTCTGATTCGACAACTGGCCAAGCCAAGCTCGTCAAGATCGCACCCAAGCATTGGTTAGCAGTTGAGTCTCAGCGAATCAGCGGCTCGATCTCCAGTGCAGTACCTATCATTTACGTAGCATTTGATTTACACTCTCGGATAAACTTTTCATTTCCGCTTTCTGAAGTCCGCCATCAACCACATAAGTCTTGAAATTAAAAAAGTCACGAGAGTGGTTTGACTCATGTACGCCTCGTTGCAAATGCCATACGGCACATCATCGCCCTGAATTCTTGCCAAAAGTGCAGGGCGCTTCAATGACTACTCTCGTACTGCGACTGAGCCTATGGCTGTCGTCCATCTCAATGGATGTAGTCGGCCACCATCAGGAGCGCGTCGCGGTTTGCTCGCGTGGCGAAACAAAACATGTGAGCGCGTTTGTGTCCTCGGCAAATGCCGCTTCGTGCCGCGCCAAGTCTGAGCGACTTCACTGAGAACGAGCGCGAGGTTCTTTGTGGCTCACCACAATTACGACCAGATTCGACGATCGAGTAGGCCATTCGCGACGCCAGCACGTCAGATTCCAGAGCACCGTGCACGTAGCCGTCACCATGAGTAGCAACCTGTAGCAACCGCTTCTACACCAAGTTCTCTTCCCTAGCACTACGCGATATCGTGATCGCCAGCGCCTCAACGACGCATAGCGCGTTTCCCTCGCCGCACGACTGCAATGGCAGTCGAGTACATACGTGTTTGCACGTACGAACATGTCTCGTCATGGCTGGCGCTCGAGTACATATCTTTCACAGGGCTCATGTCATTCGAATTCAGTCAGTATCGCTTCTTACGGGCTCACATATCGTACTATAGTGAAATATGCCACGCTCTATGCGCACGAGGGGGATGACGCGTATCGTGACAAACTCGCGGAAAAGAACTCAACCTTTTGCCAGTGCCATCGAAGTTCATATTGCCTCAGAGGGCGAGGAGGGTAGTAAGGGTACCGGTAACGGGGTACATGAACGAAAGAAGCATATTAATGGCGCGCGCGCTGATCGACATCCAAATCTCTTCTCATCTACGATGACGCGAGCCTGGTGTAGAATAGAGATTGGTTGGCTTGTGCCTCTGATGTTGGTGGTTGTTTGCGCATGACGGCGTAGCTAGAGTCAATCAGGGTCGCGGTGATTTGTCTGCCGATGCACACGGCGGCCGTTGGAAGGCATCAATGCTCGCGAAGTACCTACGCACTTCTTCACCTTGCGCTCACGATGCGTATGGCCACTGCTGTGCGTGTCTCGGAGGCGAAGACTTGCAGGGAGTTCAACGGACGGGCGTGTCGCTGTCGAGCAAGCACTCGGGCATCCCGGGCCAACAATATGCGGCAGATCGGGACGTCATATGCAGGTGGCTTTGCTCGGTTCCTGGAAAAGCAACAAACGCACTTTCGACTTGTTCCCATCTCGGGGTTAACACTGGACTCTGAGTAGTCTTGCAAACTATCTCCCTTCACGGGGACGCGCGAGCCGGGATGTCTTACGAGCCTTTGCTGGTCGCGTACCCATTTCCGGCTTTTGCTGTGCTCCTCTCTTCACGCTCCACGCATGGCGGGCCGTCGCTGTCGCCTGTCTTCGCCAATAAGGCGTTCTGCACCCTACTTCTCGGTCATGAAACGCCTATGAATGCACTGGAGGGGCTCTGGTTGGAATCACTGCACACACTCGACCAGGCGCGAGCCTTTACCGACTGGGCCTTTGCCGCTGCCATCGATCACGAACCTATCGCGATCACGCTCGAGGTCGAACTCAAGCTAAGATGGACCGACGCGCGCCCGAGGCTCGAACTCGCGCAGTCCGTACTTGACGGTCACGTCGTGATCACAGCTATACCACGCTCTGCTCTTCCTAGACCGGATGCATCTCCGCCCGCGACCCTCACAACTCGGCCCAGCCTCCCAACCCTCCCCTCTTCGCTCTTATTCTCCTCGACACCATCCTGCCACGAGCTATATGAAACATACGACTGGGCATCAACACCTCTTGGTCCGCGCGAATCGTGGACGGATACTCTCCAAGCCGCCGCCAACTACGCACTCGCCAATCCTTTCCCTACTTGCGTCTGGTGGCGCGCGAAGGGTGCTACGGAGCTCGTATTGCTTTATAATGATGGATACGCAGCGATAGCTGGCAGCAAACATCCCGCCATCTTCGGCAAGGCCGGTTCCGTAGCGTGGGGCGAGCTATGGGAAATGATTGGGCCTGTCGCTACTCGTGTGTTGCAAGGAGAGAGCATATATCGGATGGAGGATCTACTTTTCTTCAATCGCCTGACGGAAAAGAAGCTGCCGGAGGAGACATACCACAACTGGAACTACGTGCGTGGATATCGCGTGTTGTGTATATTGACTACACTCAGCATTGCTTACAGGTCCCCGTACGGGGCGCGGACGGCGAGGTTGACGGATTCCTAAACAGTACCTTCGATACAACGGGAAAAGTGGTCGCCGACCGTCGTCTGTGCGTACTTGTTCCCTCAACGCTTTCTGTTCCGACCTATCTACGGGCGTCACGTCCCCTTGCTTCTTTACCCAAATGTTCAACGGATTTCTTTGATCGCCGTCTTCTCTGCCTATTCGGGAGCGGTCACTAATACGACCTTATCATCCCAGGGCTTTACTTCGCGAGCTCACAATGCGAGCTGGCCTCGCACGCACGCAGGATGAGTTTGTCCGAGCCCTCCTTGACGTGCTCCAAGGAAGCGTGCTGGAAGCGCCGTTTGCGTCTGTATGGCGTTGTGTGGCTCTTGATGGTATGTCCCTCAATCAAGCTCTTCGCATCTCTCATCCACCGCTGCTATGTCTCTCTGCATCCGCATGGTTCGAATATACCCATCACATGAATCCTTTTACTCCGTCGACGTGGGCAGGCAGTGACTGACATTGCCTTCTGCCGTTCGCAGCTATGCCTGCATCTTCACCATCTGCACCACCTTCAACACCTCAGCACGCATCCACCAAGTTTCGTCTGGATCTCCGAGGCACAGTCGGCCTCCCGTCAGACGGCTCGCACCCTGCCTTCCCCGCGTCGTTGGAGATATCACTCGCTTCACCCCCATCACGCGCTCTTCCTGCGAGACCCGGGGCGACCGGACGTCCTTCGAGCTTTGCGGGAGCTCTACAGCGGACAAGCAGCTTGCGGGAGTCACAAGAACGCCTTGGCACCGTGGGGCGGCCGTCGAGCTTCGCTGGTACACCATCGGGCCTGAAAAGCCTTCCCGACGCCCCTGTTCAAGATGAGCGCTCCCCGAGTACATTTCGTGACCCAGCCAATCCGACTGCATCTGCTCGTACGCAGAGCAACAGCCCAGCCACAAGCGCAGCTTCAAGTCGTTCTCCACCTGTCGAGGACATACAACTCGAAAGCGGAGAAGGAAATGCGGTGGTGTTCTGGTCGCTCGCAGACGTGTGTGCGCATCCGACAACAGTACGGCACGTCGCACATCTACCGGAGTGGGTGACCGCGAGAGCGGAGCCCCGTGCTTGGGGGGAAGTTCCGCGCGAGGCAGTTGTTATCCCGCTCTTCTCATCTGCATCTACATTTGTCTCTGACGGTGCAGAGATCGAAGCCGATACTTCTTCAGACGAGAGCGGAGATACTGCAAGCGGGATCTTGGTACTAGGCTTAAACAGTCGGCGACCATACGATGCGTCGTATTCGGCATTCATCGACCTCTTCCGGCTCAGTCTTAACGCACTTCTCACGGCGGTCGCTGGTCGCGAGGCAGATGGCGCGCGTGCACGGCAGCTTGCACAGCTTGACGAAGCTAAGACAGCGTTCTTCAGCAACGCAAGCCACGAGTTCCGAACGCCCTTGACACTCATACAAGGGCCGTTGGAAGACTGTCTGGGCATGATGCAGGGAGAGAGAGCTCGTGAGAGAGGGAAAGGTTCTGGTGACGATATTGGTGCCGGAGAGATGGACAGGACGATGACCAGGGTCAAAGAAAGGGAACGCGCAGTGCGTGAGCGCCTTACGATGGCTCTACGGAACGTCGCTCGCCTCAAGCGGCTGGTCGACTGTCTCATGGACTTCTCCAAGCTTGCCGCGAATAGGCTGGAAGGACGGTTCCGCCCTGTCGTGCTGGGCCCACATACAGCCGACCTCGCCAGCTTGTTCAGAAGCGTGATAGAGCGGAGCGGGATCGAATACGACGTGCAGTGCGACGATGCCGGGGATGTCGCCGTATATGTTGACCCAGAGTGTGTCTCTTTCCTTCTGCTCGACCGTCAGAACATCTTTTCTCACGCAATTCATAGTTTCTGGGAGAAGATCGTCTTCAATTTGATCGGCAACGCGTTCAAATACACGATGGCAGGCAAGATCTCGGTCTACATGGAAGTGCGCGATGGTTGTATGCACTTCAGTGTACGTGACACTGGCGTCGGTATCCCGCCCAGTGATATCGACAAGGTCTTCGACCGTTTCCATCGCGTAAACACGGTTGGGCGCTCTCACGAGGGCACTGGAATCGGTCTTGCGCTTACGAAAGAGCTTGTTGTGAGTCCTTCACTTCCAGTTTTTGTGGGATCAACTTCAGTGGCTCAAATCGTCATCCAGATATTACATGGTGGCAGACTCACCCTCACATCGCTCACGGCCGATGATGCCCCAGATAACCACGGTTCAACGTTCTCGGTCGCCATCCCGCTCGGCAGCGTGCATCTACCTGCAACGCACGTCGATACAACGCCACTCGTCGCTGAGCAGGAAGAAGGCGCGCATAGAATGTACGGCCGTGGCATCGTTGACGAAGCTGGGCGCTGGGCATCATCATCGGGGCCTTCTCTTACCATGTCTAACGCCACAACCGCATCCAGCTCTGATGCCGGTGAATCTGGCTCATCTAGTGACTCAGGGAGGATGGACCCAAGTACCCTATTCTTCGTGAAGAGCGACCGGATATTGCTCGTTGATGACAATGCGGACATGAGACGGTACATCGCCGCGCTGCTTCGCCCGTATTGCACCGTGCTCGAAGCTGTCAACGGTCAAGACGCACTCGATGTTCTCGACAACCTACGGGCAGAGGAGGATACACTCGGAAGCGATCAGGGCATCGCGCGAGCCGCACATAAACGCATGCCAGACCTGATCATCAGCGACGTGATGATGCCTGTGCTGGACGGGTTCGGGCTTATCTCACGCCTGCGGCAGCGCACGGATACCCGCCTACTGCCCATCATCCTTGTGACAGCCAAGGAGAGCGAAGAAGCTCGCGTCGAAGGTTTACTCGGTGGCGCCGACGATTATCTTTGCAAGCCTTTCACTGCTCGTGAACTCGTGGCGCGGGTTCATCTGCAGATGCAACTCGGGAAGCGCCGTGCACAGCTTGAAGCGCTCTTCAAGGTCCGGACGCGCGAGATTCAAGTCCTCAGCGATCTGAGCCCCGTGGGCATTCTTCGAGCAGACGCTGACGGACTCACAACGTACACGAACGCTAGATGGCGCGAGATAAGCGGGGGTGAGGATGATGAGGAGGACTGGCTCGCGTTGATTGAGGAAGGCATGGAGGCCGCGCAGGACGCATGGGAAGTTGCATTAGATGAACGGCTCGGGGTCAGCGCCGAGTTCCGATTCCGCAATGGGAAGTACGCGAAAGGTCAATTCGAGCCTCTTATCTCGGAGGAAGGAAACTGTATGTCCTCTCCAATCTCTTTCGGAACATATACGTCCTCACTTACAGCTACAACAGTCACAGGAGTCATCGCAACGCTCACAGATCTATCTGAGACGCGAAGATTCGAGCAAGTGCGACTCGCTCACGCCGAGGAGCGCGCTGTCACTGCTCGCAAGCAGGCTGAGGAGGCAGATCGTGCGCGGGCTGATGCGGACGAACGTCGACGTGGGCAAGAGTTGTTGATTGATGTGACGAGCCACGAACTACGGCAGCCCGTGAGCGCGATCCTGAACTGCTCGAGTCTCGTGCGGTCCAATCTTGGAGCGCTTTACACCGAACTCTCTCGCGGTGGCCCGTACACTCCGTCTGATTCCATGCTGAAGCTCGTACGGGATGACCTCGACGCACTCGACGCGATCTATCAGTGCGGGCTTGCACAGGAGCGCATCGCGAACGACGTGCTCAGCCTGAGCCGCATTCAGCTCGAGGTTTTGAGCATCTCACCTGTCGACTTTGATCTCGTAGCTGAGATGCGCCGCATTGTCGCGATCTTTTCGAATGAGGTCAAGATGAAGGGCATCACACTCGAGGCGCGACTGGACGCATCTGTGCACCATCTTGGTGTGCAAAACGTACGCTCTGACCGCGCGCGCTTCGGGCAAATCGTCACAAATCTGCTGTCGAATGCGATCAAGTTCACGGACACGAGCGTTGGAAAGCGCGACATCATCGCTACTCTCTTCGCCTCACGTCGTGCACCACCACACGGCGAGCCATGTGTGCCGCCCCCTGGGCCCGAGTTGCCGTTCTCGTCCGCCGAGCTTCCTGCAAATGTGTATCTTTACTGTGCGGTCAAGGATTCTGGACCAGGCCTACGACCAGACGATCTTGCGCTGCTATTCCGCCGCTTCCAACAGGGGTCAAACTCGCACAATGTATTCGGTGGAAGCGGGCTTGGACTGTTTGTCTCTCGCAAGCTATGCGAGCTCATGGATGGCAACATCGACGTCGATAGTGTTTACGGCGAAGGTGCAACCTTCCGCTTCTTCGTTAAGGCGCAAGCGTTACCAGGAGAACCAATATCTCCAGTCTCAATACCATCCACCTCTACCAGTCCCGCAGCTTCGCCATCCGCTGGTGAAGACGTACATGTGCTCATCGCAGAGGATAATCTGATCAACCAGACCGTGTTGAAGTGAGTCGGTCTGATCCTGCTTCTTCGCATGTGTCTAATCCGGTCACATTTCTTCATAGTCGGCAGCTTACCGCTCAGGGCTTCATCACGACTTTGGCGAACAATGGCCAACAGGCACTCGACTGCATTCTCGCACGGGCAGCTGGGGATCATGGGGCGCCTCGACGTTTTGACGCTGTACTGATGGACTGCGAGATGCCCGTAATGGATGGACTCAGCGCCGTACGCGAGGTTCGCCGTCTTGAGGCTGCTGGTTCCCTTGCTGGTCCTCGCAACTTGGTATTTGCCCTGACGGGAAACGCAAGGGCGGGTCAGGTTCAGAATGCGCGCGACGCGGGTATGGACGATGTCATCGTATGTCCTCCTCCGCTCCATGCCAGCTACTTCTCGTGTAGACTCACACGTCCCATCTAGATCAAGCCATACAGGCTCGACCAGTTGGTGGCCATCATTACGGACGCGGTAGCCCGCAGTCGAGAACAGCCGGGTCCATACCTTGACGCTGTACCGATGAGGCCATCGGAGGTTGCACCCGAGGCAACATGACAATTGTTTTACCGGCCCAGGTTGAGGTTGCTTTGGGCTCCTCGCGGCCTCCTGCTACTTTCTGCTTTGACACTTGCCTCGAGCCTGTGGATGCAACATCTGCGTCGGTAACGCATCGTGCATGCACCTACGGTCGGTTTCAGCTTCGACTCGCTTTCGTTCTCAATCGTCTCTGGCCTCCCGCCACGATATGTATCACGCCACAAAGTCTGGCCTGTCCCTCTTGCTCTTTACTCTACCAGCTCCTGTACCACCATCTAGTTCGTATCCTGCCTTCTGTGTGGCGAATGGATCCTTCGCCCTCATCATTTCTGGCACTGTCATCTCGTCGTCATCTCCCGGGCCCCCAACCTAGAACGCGCATACCATCTTTCATTGTACACATACTACCAGCAGAGTACATTCCACTCACCTAATCTTTCTCATTTGCTCATCACCTATCATCTGTACAAATCGAATTCTACTCGATCTGCTGTTTCATCCCGCGGTTCACGATGTGTAAGTCACAAAGACTTCAGCACTACTGTACTTTTATGGATCTAAGTTCGTGCTCCCGAAGCGGCACATGTCGGGTGCTTCGAGGTGTACCCGAACTAGGTTCGAAATCGGTCGCATAGTGTTACAACGAACCTCGAGCTGGGCGAAAGGCTTGGGAGGATACCGGCGAAGCCGGCCCGGTCCACTGGAATGCTTTTACCGGATTACCGCAGGCGCACTACCCATTTCGTTTTGCGACGGAGTGTTGCGCGTTACTAACTTCAGGATGTAGAAGCACAGTACACAACGTACCTTCGTTTTCGAACCAGCCTCGCATTGATTGGCGACTGGTTTAATGCGTTGACCACGAAGCGCGATTCACGCACGATAGTTTGAGATCGACTGCATCGCATTATTCACAATTAATACAGTAAGGGGTAACAGGCGCAGTCGAAACTCCCAGCACAACGTACAAGCTATCGTACATTCAATTCGACATTAAGCAGAAAGGTATTCGCGAGGCGTAGTCTGTGAGCCGAGAAATCTAGACAATAGTGAACGCATCCGAGTGCCAACCCGAACCCTGCTTCGCAGCGTCCGCGCGCTCCTGCGCCTTGTTCGAGTAGCCCGCATCGTGGCCGGCGTTGACGATAGCTTGGTCGCGCTGAGCGGAAACCTTGAACTGGGCGTTGCGCTGAGAAGCCGTGCTCTGCGCCTCGGCCTTCTTCTGCTCGGCCTCAGCCTTGTTGCGCTGGAAGACAGATTTGAGCGCGTCGGCGCGGCTAGCCTCGTCGGACTGCTTGGCCTCGGAGTAGCGGTCGCGGACGGTGACGAGCTGCCCGTCAATGTACTCGAAGGCGGTGCGGATGGCGTCCTGCGCAGCCTTCTGTATCTGCTTCTTGACGAGACCAGAGGCGAGGGGCTTGAGCGTCTTGTACAGGACGTCGTGCTTCGAGTCGCGAATCGAGAACTTGAGAGCGTCGATCTTGACATTGACGTCCTTGACGTGGAATACCGAAGACTTGTCCTTGGTCGCCGACGCGAGGTGAACGGTGGCCTGGAGCAAAGCATGAGAGACAGCTCAGAAGTGAAGCGCAAGAGTGAACGAACCGTGAGACCCTCGCCACCGAGCATGACGTCGGCGAGACCCTGGTCGGTGAGTTTGGGGAAGCCGGTCTTCTTGCTGAAGTAGAAGGCGACGTCGCGCATGTCGGCCTGAACCTGACCGAAGGTGAACGTGAACTCGTGGTGAGACTCGTCATTGATGGTGTTGTACGGCGAGAATTTGACGAAGTTGTTGGCATTCATCGACACGATGTTCGGGAAGATGTTGCGGCCCTGGAACGTGAGGTTCTCAATGACGAGGTCGAGCTGGTCGTCCGTGTACTCGATGCGTGGGATGGGAACGTAGCCGACCTAGACGACGATGATGATGAGCAACGCAATCGATAGGTGAAGAGAAAGGACGAACTTGTTCGACGAGGTTCGGGAGAATGTGCTTGCGGATATCGAGCCAGAGGTCGGGCTTGAACTTAAGGTTACCCTCGTTGTCGAAGAGCAAGTCACGGGTAAGACGACCAAGGTCGTCGCCAAAGCGCTTGTTGAGCGGGTCGTCGGCCATGGCTTTGAACCAGTCGCCGACGGTGTTGAAGAGACGATCGAAGTGCGACTTGTACTTGTCGTCATAGAAGCGGCGACCGGACTCGCGGATCTGGCGACCTTCACTGTTGCAGCGGTCCTCAAGGACGAAGCCAGGCTCGAGGAGGACATCGCGGGTGTACGAGTCGACGCGGCTCCACCACTGGCGGAACTCTTCGTCGTTGCGCGCATCGTCGGTGAGGTCATTGACAGCGTCGAAGATGGGGTCCATGGGCTGGTTGTTGGCGAAGCGCTCGAGGAGTGTGCGGAGCTGCTCCCAAGAAGACTGAACAGCGTTGTCCTGCGAGAGAAGTCAGAATCCTGCAGATAAGATGTGAAGTGAATGAGTTTACGCTGGTGACCTGCCCGTGGGCGTCCTTGCCGTGACTAGCAATGTGCTTGCCATGACCGGCATACTCCTCAATGAGGCCAAGGAGCCACTTGACGGACTCCTGGTAGTCATCGTGGCGTTGGCACTCGACGATGACCTTCTTGCCACGGTAGATAAACTGGTCGCGACGCTCCTCAGGGAAGTACTCCTCGGTTAGAACGCGCTTGCCGTCCTCAAACTTGTCCTTAGTCTTATCCTTGTGCTCCTGCGGGACGCGGTCGAGCATGCCATCCTGAGAAAGTTGTCAGTACGGCATCGCAGAACGTCTTGAGAAGTTCACATACGCGGAAGCCGGCGACGCGGTCCTTCAGACTGCGCTTCTTCTCCTCGGTATCAAGCTCACCCTGGTCAGCCTCACTGGAGGATACATCAGCTCGAAGTCGCCGCAGGGAGTACTATAGGATACTCACGCCTTGGTCTGCTGAGCCTCACGGGTGACCTGCTCACGGGCGCGGTCTGCGTTCTCGCGAGCGCGTTGGGCCGTAAGCTCCTTCGCTTCGTCAACTGAGTACTTCTGGCCGTCCTTCTCGACGTGAACACCGCCGTCAGGGTGGTGACGAACGGCGCCATCAACGCCGGGGATGGACGTCTCGGCGACGGGAGTCTCGTTCGGGCCGACGGGCTTACCGCCGGCGGAGACGAAGCGGTCGGCCGGCGCGGACTCGTCGACCTTTTGGAGGCGCTCTTGGTCGGGGCGGATTTGGCCGGCGGCGTGGGTAGCACCGCGAGCAAGAACGTCGCGGCCGATGACGGAGAAGTCAGAGGGCAGCTTACGTGCCTCCTCGTTGGTGGCAAGAAGGTTGAGAAGGGTGCGCAGGTGCTTGGAAGCTGAAGGTTGCGTGAGTACTGATCGCCACAAGAGACGGAGCGATATGCGTCATACCTTGGTCCCTGTCCTGCTGAACCTTGCCGCCGTCAACGGGGATAACCTCGTTGGGGTCCTTCTTGATCGTAGAGGTATCGACGTGACGAGTAGTCCACATGAAGTTCTGGAAGAGCTCGTCCGCGTTCTTGCGCTCGACGATCAGACGAGCGGTCTCGATGAGGTCGCGCACGTCCTGGGTGAGCTCACGGCCCTCGGCCGAGAGTTTCGACTCGTCGATGGGCGAGTTGTTGATCACATACTTGAGCGTGCTGTTGATCTGCTCGTTGGTGGGCATGCGACCGAGGCGGAAGGCCTGGATGACGCCGTAGAGACGCATCTAGTCAAGACGCGTCAGCAAATGAAGTCAAAGACAGATTTGAGGAAAGGATGCTAGCCTTGCGGTCAATGTCCGCCTCCTTCGCCTCCTTGTTGACCGGCGCCGCGACGGCGGTCTTGGGCGGGTGCTCAGAGGTGTTCTTGGTTGCGGTGGGGAGAGACATTTCGTAGAGTCGTAAAGTTGGTCGTGAAAGTTACAAGCAAGAGACAGAGAGCAGGCAATTCCGAATTCGTGTTTTGGTGGCGAGAGAGGGATGGGTGCGAAGGAGATATGTATGCCGCAAAGGTGGTCATGATGTCATCTTGACCCGGCGGCAGCGTCACCTCTGAGCTCCATACCCTTTCTCTCGAATGATCCCGCGTCTACGAGATCCAAGGAAGGCTGCCAGAGCGGGGCACTTGTACCACCTCGGTGGCGCATACTGTGATAATGAAATACGAGGCCGTCAATTTAGCGCATCGTAGCCGCGGCCGGCGGCGCAACCGCAGTCAACGCTTTTGCACCCGCGTCCCCAGCCGCATACCTGTCTATGGTTTATACTTTGCTGCAGTATATAAACACCTAGAAGAATACAAGGAGACAGTAGTTGTAGGAAGTGGAGGTTCTGCCCGAGCAGAGGAAATCCGACGCATGCCTGCGGTAAACCCGATCATTGAAACTTGAGCTTGAGGTTATGTCGAAGAGACTCAATGAAAGGTGCCACTCGTCAGGGACATACGTATGATCCCGCTGACGACGTTCTCCTCGCTGGCGCGGAACTATTCCTCCGTGGCTAGTCGTGTGCTGCGCAACCCGGGAGGTCGACCAAAAGAATTGGTCTTCTTTGCGGGCGGTGACGCGATGACGGTCGAGGCGAGGAAGAGCAAAGAAGACCGTCATGGGTCGCAAGGCGTCTTACGGGAGAACCGAAGCTAGTCCATGATCTCGCTGTGGCACAGTGGGGACGATAGCGTGAACCTGGATCTTTCGCACATCTGACTGAGAGGTCGTGGTCAAGTCGAAGGCGAAAGCGGCGCCAGCAAGGTTCATCGTCTATAGTTACCGATCACGGCGTTAACCGGACTAGTATTCTCTCATTCAAATCTGGCATCGATCTGGCATAGCCGTTACTGCTCATGTAAAGAGCCTACATCGAATACAGTATGTACACTACTCCTCATCATCCAGTCCTAGCTTCCACATCTCAGTCTCATGTATCCTGTCTCGCGAATCTGACTCCTCCCAGATCACCGTCTCGACATGTGTTCTCAGGTGCCGGACTTCGTCTGCGACATTCCAGCATCGCTGCAGGCGCAGCACGCGTAGACGGCGGCGCCATCGCCCGGCGAGGGCCTTGAGATCTGTCTTCACCAGCGATAGATGCGTGAGCGCAGGGAAGAACTCCGGTGCCCCTTCCACCTCCGTCTCCCCAATGTGATCTCGCACTTCAGGTTGAACAAGAGCAAGTAACTCCGCGGCTTCGGCGCTCAGGGCTTCGATGACCAGTCGTCGTACAGAGCGCGCCCTGATCGCGATATCACACCACGCGTCCGCGTGTAGTCGGGCGTGCGGAGTAAGAAGAAGTGTCTCGAGGGCGCTCATCTCAAGCGGGTAAGCGCGCACGAGTGGTTCGCACGCCATCGATAGAGGCGGAAGCTCGGGTTCAGCGTGTCCTGGGGCGAGTAGTGCCATGGTGAACGTGAACCCTTCTGGCGGTGCGGGTTCAGGAAAGGAAAATGATTCGTAAGCACTCGTCGAGACGTTGAATACACTATCCGGAGTGGGAGCAGAGGTAGCACGCAGCGCGTATGTATGCGGCCATTTCCCGTGTAATTCGAGCAATCCAGGTTGCGGCTGCTTCGTGGCGCGTCCTGGGTCCGGAGAGGATATGCGTGACGCAAAATGCCGGGCGAGGTTCGCGTGGAGGCGGTCGAAGACAGCGAGGCCGCCGTGCGTAGGCGGTGGCGCGAGAAGTTTGATGATAGCCTCATTCGAGAAGATGAGCGAGAGATGCGTCGAAGCATCGTACGGTAGCGCCAAAAGTGGTAGAAGGCCACAAATGTCAAGCGGCGTTCCCGTTAAATAAAGCGTGACGATGTGCGGTAGGGTGACACTGCGACCATTCGCACTTTCGACGTCTTCGACGAACCCGCGCCAGTACGGAGAAGCGGGGCTGAGGCGCAAGTCCTTGAGGTTGTGCATATGGGATAGCGCATCGAGCATAGCATTGATCCCACATTTGCTTGTCGTCTGTAGGCTTTGAAGATGGAGAGTAGTGATGCCTCCGTGAAGCAACGGGCTTGTCCAAGGCAGGCAACAACCGCGAAGGATGAGCGTCTCGAGTTGTGGTGCATTGCCCCCAAGGAAGTCGGGAGGAAGACCGAGACCCTCCGCAGCGGGCATCCGTACTCGGCGGAGTATACACGTTCGTAGGATGGGTGCAGGACGACACGCAGCCTGCGTGAAGATGTGAAGGGTGTCCACAAACGACGAGAGGCTGATGAACGCGACGCGGTCCAGGTGCTCAATCACAGGTAGTACTTGTGAGCCATCGCTATACCAGCTCTCGGGCCCGGGGAAGACGACGTGAAGAGGAGCATGTTGCGACCTCTCTAACATGACATCCGTCAGATCCGGATTCGTGAATAGGAGCGAAGACCAGAATTGAGGGAGTGACAGCGCAAGTCTTCGCCAGCGTCTACAGACAGCTGGCACAGAGTGCCACCCCTTACGTGTTTCCTTGTGATCTTCTTTACTGCAGGGGTCCAGGTGCAAGAAGATGTCCGTGAGATTATCGTCGAATAGTTTATCAATGGCACACGGCTCGGATATCTTGAGAGTAGACCCGAAGCGCCGGTGAACGAAAGTCAAGTCGTCCCCGTCGTCATTGTGTGTGTTCATCGGCAGTAGCAGGTATTTGCTTGTTCATACGACAGTAAGCCGGCTAGCGAGGGCCAGCCACAATGACCTGCATGAGCCCGCGGCGCGGCGCGGCGAAACAGATCTGAGATGGTGATGGTTGCGGAACAAGGTGCGCGGAGATGGCCGAAGTCGCGTTGTCGCGCGTCCTTGTGCACAGCGCCGGCCCTTGACCGCGAGCAACGACATCGAGCGCGAGTATCCAGAATGGCGGCCCAGAATGTGAACATGGCAACAGTGCTCAAACGGTGCGCTGCTCTTACGTCTAACATCTATACACGGATATACCATTAACTATGGATAACCTTTACCGCAGGCTAGAGGCCGTTACTTCCCGTTTGGAGGACATGTACGAGAATGCACGCACTGGTGCACCTTCATCTGGCCCTGCAATTGCAGCTGCTTCCGCCACTACGGGTCAAGCCGCTCCACCACCGCCACCGCCACCTCCCCCTCCTGCCATCGCTGTCGCGGATATCGAGGATCCGCCGGCAGTTAAGGCTTTCTTCGAAGAGATCGTGGATACCAAGGTCAAGCAGTTCACGAAACTCACCGAGTCCTTTGCAGCGCCATCTGTCATTGAGCAGGTAACACACTCCTCTCTGACATTAAACACGATGCTGACCTTACGTGTGCTATAGGCGAAAGTCGTCGAGAAGCTTTACACGGGTCTCGGTGGGCTGATCCGTACGGCTGCTCTCTGCAAGAAACCGACGGAGCAGAATGCATTCGCGGAACTGCTTCAGGCTCTCCAGACCGACATCAACGCCATCTCTGCAATTAAGGAGAAGAATTTCAAGGAGAGGACGTTCGCAAACCACCTTACCTTTGTCGCCGAGGGAGCGAGTGCCGTCGGCTGGGTCGCGATTGTAGGTCCTGCAATGACGGTTCAGATTACATGTGACTGATCTTATTACGGCTGTAGGAGGGCAAGCCGGGTCCTTATGTTGGCGAAGTGCGCGATGCAAGCCAGTTCTACGGCAACAGGATCATCAAGGAGTTCAAAGAGAAGTGAGCTAACGTCTCCCTCTCAACTTCGTCAACTAACGGCTCCCCCTAGGGAACCCAAACACGTCGAGTGGGTGCGCTTGTACTTAGACATTCTCGAGTCCATGCGCAAGTACATCATGGCACACCATACTACTGGCCTTGTCTGGAATCCCAAGGGCATGTCTGTTGCCGACTTCAAGGCGTCCTCTTCTGCGTCTGCTGCTCCTGCAGGCGGTGCACCGCCTCCCCCGCCGCCACCGCCGCCACCTACAGCCCCCGCGGCACCTCCCCCTCCCGCATCCGGCGCTTCTCCTGCAGGCGGCATTGGGGCAGTCTTTGCCGACCTCAACAAGGGCTCAGACGTCACGAAGGGCCTTCGCAAGGTGGACAAGAGCGAAATGACACATAAAAACCCCGCGTTACGGGCTAGTAGCACTGTACCCGCCGCGTCGCCGCCGCCTTCTTCAACTGCGGCTAAGCCGAAGAAGCCGGTGAAACCGAGTGCCCTGCATGCAAAGAAGCCGCCCAAATTCGCATTGGAGGGAAATAAGTGGTTGGTGGTACGTGTTATCTCTGTTTCATGATGCAAGGCATGTGCTGACACACGCCGTAGGAGAACCAGGAGGGTGAAACGCTCACTATTGAGGAGACCGAGCGTTCTCAGGTCGTGAACTTGTACGCCTGTACGAAGACGACCGTGATCATCAAAGGCAAGATTAACGCCATCACCCTCTTCTCGTGCAAGTCCTGCTCGCTTCTCGTCGACTCGGTCGTCTCTTCCATCTCCGTCACAAGCTCTCCGGGCTTCGCTGTGCAGGTCACGGGTAGCGCACCGACGTTCCAGCTCGACAGCACAGACGGCGGCACGATCTTCCTCAGCAAAGACAGTCTCGCCACGGAGATCACTACGGCGAAGTGCAGCAACATCAACGTCAATCTGCCTGTAGAGGGCGAGGAGGAGGGCGTGTTTGAGGAGGCGCCGATGCCGGAAATGATGCTTACCAAGGTTGTGAACGGCAAGCTGGTCACGAGCATCGTTGAGCATGCAGGCTAGTATCATGTTGGAAAGGGTGTTGTATGATGTTGAGATTGTCGGAATGACGTACTCTGTATTGGATATGGACGATAGGGATCTGATTCTATCTACGGATACCGGTTAAATTGGCATTTTCTGTCTTCATAGCGCTCGGCTAGTATGTGCGAAAGATGGTACTCTTGACTGTCAGTGCAAGATTTTCATTGAGTCCCCCTCCAAGAAGTCCAGTAGGCGTAGGCGATTGGCACTGAAGGCAGTGGGCACCTTTTGCCTGAAGTCACAAGATCGCGTACTATATCTTCACACGCCGCGCGCGGCTGACTGGCAGTGGCGGTGGCGATGGCGAGCGCTGCCTTTCTGTGCGTGCCGCCGACGACGATCATGAAACTTGTCCTCTGCGGTCCATGCTGTTGCGGATTCGACTTCACATGAAGGGGGACGACGCCCGCGACGATCTCTAGGCTGCTTCTCTGACGTGAAGAATTCCTTGATGCCCTCAAGCCAAGCAACCCTGTTTCCAGCGCGTCTGTCAAGACGAGCGCGTCCGTGTTTCGTCCAGTGCTCTACAGCCCTCTCCGTCAACTGTTTCCAGAGCTACAATCGCATTTTACTCTGTTTCTGTCAAGTAGAAAGCTGGGGCAACACGAGCGCGGCGCCAAACAGATAAACCCCAAACTCAACCGCCATCACCATCCATCAAGCGCGCACACTAACTTCCATTCGCAATTATGGGGCTCGCTCCTGCCGAGGCCGTTCGTTAACGTGCCGGAGCTGGGTCCGGGGCCCTACGGCAGTGGCTCGATATGCGTAGAAGGTTGGCGGAATCGCGTCGGGCCTCGCCATGTCATCTCCCGCGTCCAGTCGTCGATGAATGGGCGTCTACACGTGTGTTTGCCGACGGCAAATTGCTGTCCACCAAGTCTTAAATACCTCAAGCTAGTGTCGGTCTCGGCAGGCTTCCTCTCGCCTTTCAACCATCACGATGGTCCTCCACGCTCTTTCGTTTGGTCTTGTCTCCTCCGTTTTGAGCTCCTCAGCGCTCGCCACCACTGTCTCTACGGCTCTCAATATCGTCAACCGCGAGGTCAACCTCGACGGTTACACCAAATCGTGCGGCAACAAGACCTTCATCGCTCTTCATATGCTGAAAGTATCGCAGAGCCACTCTTGTCAATGGCACATTCCCTGGGCCAATCATTTCTCTAAACAAGGTCAATGAACCCCAGGGATATCGCGGCTTGACCCTGACATTAGAATGCAGGGAGACCGCCTTGAGGTCAATGTGACCAAGGGCTTGACCCAATCGAACGGTCTCGACTTGGTCACGACAGTGGTGAGTTGCATGCTCCTGGCGCTTCACAACTCCCTCCTGATCACTGCCACGATTCAGCACTGGCACGGTATTGACCAGCTTCGGTCAAACTGGGCCGACGGTGTAGCTAGCGTGACACAGTGTCCGATCATCCCAGGTATGCCTCATTCTGATCTTCGCCGTGCAACAATCCTCATCACTTGCGCAGGCAATTCATTCGTTTACAATTTTACTGTCCCTGATCAAGCGTACGTTCAGTCATCTTGCACTTGTGGTGTATCGCTCCGGCTAACCTCACCTGTAGAGGAACATTGTACGTGCACACGTCTTCACCGACAGAGCATCTTCTGACGACTGACGTCGGTTCAGCTTTTACCACTCCCACTACGGCGGCCAGATGTGCGATGGCCTGAAGGGTGCACTCATTGTGCGAGACCCTAATGACCCTCTGCAGTACCTGTATGATGTCGATGATGGTGCGTTTTTTGCGTATCTAGGAGAATAGGTACAAAGGGCTGAACTGAAAACTGCGCCTTACAGATAGCACGGTACTCAGTCTCAGTGACTGGTACCACTTCCCGAGCCAGAAGATGTCTGGCGTTCCTGAGTTTGACTCTGTGCTCATCAACGGCATCGGTCGCTACGTGGACGGACCGACTGATAACGCTCTCGCTGTTGTTAATGTGAAGGCCGGGACTAGGTCAGTGTCTCCGGCCGGGTGCCAGCTGAGCGCGTTCAGTAGTATCTGACCCGACGTTGTAGATACCGGTTCCGTCTGATATCCATGAGCTGTGAGTGTACGACTTGTGCGCGAAGCATCCTTCACGCCCTGATCATCCGCAACAGGTCTGCCCAACTTCGTCTTCTCCGTCGACAAGCACACCCTTACCATCATCGAGGCCGATGGTAACTCGGTCATTCCGCATGACGTTTCTTCCTTGCAGATCTTTGCGGGTGCGTGAATCCGTGTATCCCTTTCATCTGAGGAGCTCACCCTCGCATGTGTAGGGCAGCGCTATTCCTTCGTGCTGAACGCCAATCAGCCCAAGGACAACTATTGTCAGTCTTTGACGTCATAAAGCTCGGACAACCATCCGCTGACATGTATATCAGGGATCCGCGCTGCGCCGAACTCGGCCACCAATAACAGCACCGGGGACGGTCTTAACAGCGCTATTTTGAACTACGAGGGCGTCGACGTTGCAGATCCTAGCTCCCTGAACACCGCATTGAACAACCGCCTCGTCGAAACCGATCTCCATCCACTGGAGGCGTCCATCGTCGTACGCCCTGATTCGCCACTTCTCGTATCGCATGCATTGACTCGCACACTAGCCTGATGCCGATTTGGTTATCGACCTGGACTTCAACTTTAATACAACCTCTGGTCTTTTCACCGCCAACAATGTTTCGTTCTCGATGGAGAACTCTATGCCGACTCTGCTTCAGATTCTGAGCGGGAACCAGAGGGCCGAAGACCTGCTGCCTTCGGGGAGCATCTATAGCCTTCCGCGTAACCAAACCATCGAGTTGCGTATGCCCGCTCGCTCTGGTATCGAGGCGAAGAGCGGTACGTGTGCCGGATACCTCATCTGTGGGAGATTTCTCACTCTGATTCCTAGGTCCGCATCCATTGCATCTTCACGGTCACTCTTTCTGGGTTGTTCAGTCGGCTGGGAATGCTACGGAAAACACTATTGATCCGATCATGCGTGACGTCGTCGCGAGCGCCGTTGACGCCAACGACAGCACTTCCGTTGTCAAGATACGTTTTAGGACGGACAACCCTGGTCCTTGGATCTTTCACTGCCACATGTGAGTATGAAGTCTCCAGATCGGATCGACAGTTACTCAAGTGTGTTGGTAGTGATTGGCATTTGGCCAACGGTCAGTCTTCGTGGCGCTGAACCGTCTGACTCAGTGATACTAACGTCGTTTTTGCAAACGTCAGGATTTGGCGTCGTGTGAGTCTTGACAGTACGCCGGAAACTGCTTCAAGCAATTAATAGACCACGCTTTTCTAGATTCGCCGAGGACAGCGCCAGCGTCGCGGACGAGGTCGTCCCATCACCAGGGTGGAATCAGATTTGCCCCGCATATAACACGTTCATAAAGGAGGGAAAGTGATTACTGATAACACTTTACTAATGCATTCCTCATTCAGTGTCGACGTACGTTGAGATCGGATAAAGTATACTCACTAAGATCCCGATATTATATCCTGCTGTTTAACTATACTGTCCCTACTCTTCTTCAATACTTACTTGTGAGAGTTGTCGTCCCGAGACTTTGCGATGTGACTGAGAGCTATCATAGCAGGCAGGCGTACTCTATTTTGCCTATCAAGGACTACTCATTCCGTCCGACGTCTGAGCACCGCGGGTTCCAGCGGGTTTCACGTTCAAAAGTCACGAGGTCGTGTTTAGCCATTCGCACGGTTTTGCCTGGTTTTGCAGCTCGTAGCGGAAGCCCTGGAACCTGCTCCTTGACCATCATGATCATGTCTTCTGCGCTCCCGACATACTCTGCTAGCACGGCTGGTATGATATCAACACTTTGCGTCTCAGGAAAAGCAAGTGGCGGAATCGAGTCGACGGTGCAGAAGAAACTACGTAGACCGAATCAGACTCTCAATCAGTGTTTACCGTTTGAAACTCAAGGCTCGGGTCAGAGAATTCCAGTCCATCTCTGGACCATCCGCATGAGTAACTATACCTGCAAAGAGACAAGGCTCGCAGGGTTTGCTGGACTGCGAACCCAGTCCATATGAGCGGAGTTCCTTTGGTGTGCGTGCAAACCGCGGGAGATATGGACTGACGTCTCCATGCCTTCCCGTGGACATCCCTGCAACAGGGTTAGTCGAGAGATTGAACTCCGAGGCATTCCAACACTGATGACCATCTCTATACAGGTGGAACTCCAGGCGTGTATCCGAATGCGTTCATCTGATAGCCTTTGACACCAAGCATCGGGGTTGTCGCGCTCTCCAGCATACATATCCCCAAACGATCACCGACGATCACCGGGCCTACCTCCTGCGCTGTTTCGAGTTCATACTCGCAGTAAGCACGGTGCTGTATCGCTACCGCGCGTTCCACCGAAAGGAGAGATCGAATATACCGGAGACACGATTCATGATCACGATCAGCGCTTGTGGTCAAAGCGATGCACTCCAGCTTAAGCGATTGCAGCCTATGTTTTTTTGCCCGTATCATGCATGAGGTCTTCTCCCATCGTCCAAACGACCAATCGCGCTGTAGTGAGCGGAGAGAGTGTGGTGAGCCACTTTGTCATCGATAGGGCAGCTCGGGGTGATAGATACGTTTCACAGTACCTCGTCCATGTCGCGTGAGAGGGGAAGTCTGTTTCTGCTCCCATTGCGGCGTCGCCCTGGGAGAGGAATGCGTTGGCTGTAGCCCCGATGTATGGCGGGGCTACCCTGAGCCAGGGTCCGGAAGATATTCTGAGCGCCGCGTTCCCGACCGTCTATAGACCGGCCTTCTGGTGAGTACATGTGGAAGAGACTGTATCATCACCTTGCTGAGGGCTCTACAACAATGTAGCGGTTATTAAGCAGGGTCAAGAAAGCATGCACGCTGAGGGCTAACAAAGCGACACCCACTACGAGGTATCGGCCCTTGGGGCCATCAACTTCAACATTTTTCTCGCTATGCGACGTGCTACTGCCAGGGACGGTATCTGTAGACAGGACATCACGCACAGCACCGCGTTGCGTCGATAGGACTGGAGGCCAACGTGTTGTCGCCAGAACCTCGGCCCAAGCACGAGGCAAACGGTAGGCTGGCGAGCATGTCACGCCCAGCTATTCCCGCGCAGTGGACGCGGGACTCGGTACCCGGCGCGACCTCACGGGTTAACTCTCTTTCGCTCTTCGCCCCCACCCTAGATCCTATGCTCATCTGATAGCCGTCATCTAGACGTCCTCACATTGCTTGCGTGAGGTGTTGATGTACTCTTATGGCAACTATGGGCAAGGGGTGCCTGGACCTGTTCCCAGTTTCTCTGTTAAGAACCGAATCATGCGCCGGCGCCAGGCTAGTACTGCGGGCAACCACCTCAGCCCCGGTGTTGTGACTACCGATTGTTGTAGGCCCATCTGGAAGCTGTGCCTCTTGTTCTCCTTGCGGTTAATCTCTGTCTGTAGTCTCATTGTGTTCAGCATGTGAAGCCATCGTGGTTCTCCCCCCAACCTGTGCCACCCAGGTTTGTTCTTTCGGAAGCGGCGCAGAAGAAGGATCAGTATCGGGCCAATGCGCTATAGCACTCCTACAGATTCTCTTGTTGCGCAGTACAAACTCACGTCTTGCGGAAATAGGAAAGATGAACAATGCAGCGTATTGTTCCCAGTCACCACCCGATGGTCGAGGGCTATGCGCGTGAGGAATCTGATCTCTTTCATATATAAGGAGTGGCAGCCCTGCAGCATTGACTTCACCAATCACTATCTTCTCCCATGTCTCCGCCTTCCTACGACGATATTCCGCCGCCATACGTGCTGGGGGATGTCGTCCCCTCGTATACCAAACACCTCGCCGGTTCCGACAACACACCAGACTGCACGTCCAGCCCCTCTTATGGTCTCGCATATACCTCGCTCAAGGCCAACAAGAGTGGCTTTACTTCCACCACCTCGGCTACGGTCACTTCATCCCCTCCCGCTGCCGCTGCCGATGGCGAAGCGATCGTCAATGTTGCACCTGATCGCGCACCCACGTCTCGCACCGTACTCATGACACACACCGAAACGTACACAGACCGTGTCGGAGAGCATAGTCATGCTGTCGCATGGCTGTGGCTGGAGAATGGGCGTGTCTATTATGGAAGGCACGCGGCTCCTGGTCTGTACAACGAAGCGGGCCCAAGTCCACTTACGATGCTGGTAGCCTGCGTCGACGGTCAGGTCCTCCCTCACATGAAGCAGAGCTACCACAGAGCGTCTCCCGAGGTTCTGGGTGTTTCCCTTTCTCGCCTCGCAGGCCGAGATACAGGACCCGCGCTGTGCAGTCACAACCCCTCTTCTTCCCCGTCTTCTGTCAAACTCGACGAACACGAGATTGAGATGTACGAACGGCTTTGGGGACACCCTCACCCGAACGTCACCCAGTACCACGGCGTCTCCGCCGTTGATGACGAGTACATCACCGGTATCCAGGTCAGCGCCTCCAAGCTCACGCTTCAGGACGCGCTGCTTGACTGGCCGTTCATGCGTCTTGGATCAATCGAGCGCGGGCTATATGCTGGCATCGCCCACCTGCATTCTCATGGCATTTGCCACAACAACCTCAACCTATCGTCTGTCAGGATGAGTGATGCTGGCGGCGCGATCCTCGCAGATCTGCGTTTCGCCACGGTCATCAACACAGATGGCAGCATCGATGTGCCATCGGTGGGTGGTGGGCTGAAAGGGTGGCTTCTTCGTCGGCACGATCCCGACTACACCGCAGCGCGCCATCTGATGCGCGAGGCACGTACCTTGCGCTTATATGCGGCGGGGCGCTTCGTCTATTGGAAGGCTTGGGGCGTTGTGCGGGCAGTCTTGAGCGGCTTGAAGGGGTTTGCGATCAACATTCGGCGTCTTGGGCGTACGGTCCGCGATCCGTTGCTCCTCGTCCTTGACCGTGGCTTCTGAAGATATTCATCCCCATACTTGGCTTGATCGTCCAGCGACGAATGGGGCCTATCCAGCTTCCCATGTGGCATTATTGCTTGCAGTTCTCGTCTGTACTACCCGGATCCTTGCGCCCGTCTTCTTCAGCACCTTACTTATTCCCATATCGCTATACGGCAGTCACATATCCTTATTCCCATGTATGTCTGTAGCTTCTGTTAACGAATGGAGTACGCGTGAAGCCGGCTTAATTCAACAACAACAACATATTGATACATGATAGGTGATACATGAGAGTTGTACACGGAAGAGTGAATGGGTGAGCGTAGGATAACATGAGTGACTGATACTACTGACGGTTGCAGCGAGTGGGAGCGTGAGATGAGTTTGCAACGATAAATACTATGGACCCCTAAACCCTGAAGACCAAGAAAGGGAGAACTACGCAGGCTCTGGCATCGCCTGCAAAACCGACTTGGATGCGCCCCAAATCCCAAGCTTTCGGATCGATCGCAAGAAAGAGCCACCTCGGTGAATTTTGGGCCTGGTAAATCCGGGTACCGGTGCAACCGTGCTTGGCGGAGGTGTACCAATGCTGCTGCTCGGAGGAGTCTGAGGTGCACTAGATCGCTCTGTCGTCGTCGTCGATGTACTCGACACCGTCGTCGGGAGATTGAGGGGCTGAGGGGGCGGTGGACGGCGTGGAGGCGCAGCAGGAGGTAGCTTGTAGTTCAGGTTGAGCGCACGCGCATACTCGACCACGTTATTGCGCGCGGCCTCGCTGGCGAACACCAGATCTTCGTCGTCGAGACCCCAACGACGTATCTGAACTGTTTCGCGCCGGAGATCGGATAGGGAGATGCGCGCGCTTGGGAGTGGTGCAAGCGTACGCGAGATGAGTGCGGCGGCAGCTGGTGAGATGGGAAGTGTGTTCTGCAGATGATTCGGGTCATGGATGAAGGCGAGGAAGTTTGGGTCGGATGAGTGAGCGCGAGCCCAGGGGTAGCCACCCGTGATGAGGTTCACGAGCACGACACCTAGTGCGAAGACGTCCGCCGCGTGGGTATCGTACGTGTCTCCAACGACCTCTGTGCCAAGACACTCTGTACCACTACGTTAATATGGTGGACGGCTCGATCGAGAGAGTGAACACGAACCAGGCGACTTGTAGTGCTTGCTTCCCGCACCGAACTGATCACATTGAGCCTCAGTCGTTGCGAGGCCGAAGTCCGCAAGGAAGAAGCGCTTGCCACACGAGGATACGAGCACGTTGTCCGGCTTAATGTCGCGGTGAGCAATCCCACGATAATGGCAATGTGTAACAGCATCGCAGAGCTGGAGGAATGCACTCGTGATGGCTTCGTCGTCGTACCAGAATAGCCCCTGAGACGTGATCGCACTCAGCAGCGTGCCGCCTCCAACGAAGTCAAGCACGAGATACGCGCGTCCTGCCGAGATGAACGTCCGGTGTAGGGTCAAAACCCCTGGGTGATCCGTCACCATACTATGCAGCGCGACCTCCTCGGCGAAGCGCTGCCACGCGGTCCTACGTGTGGACTTCTGCTTTGTGCGAGCATGGCCCGAGGGTGCCGAGGGATCGGTTTCGGTTTCAGCAGGAAACAATGCCTTGATCGCAAAGATGCGGCCCGCACGGTCGACGGCACGGTAAACGGCGCCGAAAGCGCCTGTCCCGATAAGCTCCAGGACCACGTACGCGCCATTGTCCAGTTGATCGCCTGCCCGGTGTAGACTTAGACTCCGCAAGGACTTGCGCGGGAGTGGAGGCGCGCGTTTGATGTTCCGCTTTGGGTTGGACGGCTTGTTGCCATTAGAGGTTGTGGCTTGGGAACGCATGCCGGCTCGTGTGCGAAAGGATGATCGGTGGACTCCGCCAAGAGATGCTGAGCTCGAGGAAGTGGCGAGCCTGGCACGCACGGAGCGAAAGGAAGGACAGGAGGCGGGACGTGGCCGGGTGGCGTCCTCGAGGGAAGTGGTCTCCTGGCATCCGAAGTTCAAGTAGGTCCGTCCCGAGGGGCGTCTTGAAGAACCTCCGTTCGCGGGATCGGTCGTGCCAGATATCCAAGTGAGCTACACAGGTCCGGAGGCATAAACTGAAGACAATGCGTCTCGGATCCTTGTAACACGAGCAGGTTGTCGAAGGTGGCCCTGCACAGTCTAGAGCTTCTGGCCTAAAGTCGGGAGACAATTGAAGTCAGTCTTGCCATGTGCGGAGAGCGAACAGTAGTCCACGGACGGTTATATATATCAGGTCTTGACGACCCTCACGTCGTTGTACATTCGTCGGTTCCTCTTCGCGACATTCTCCGAGTAAGGATGGGCTTCCGCTTGCGCCTTCGTCAAGTACTGAGGGTGAGAGAGCCGATCTGTTTACGAGGTGCTCCCGAAAGCAATGTAGGAAATGCATGCGCCACAGCGATCTTGACCAAAAGAGGGCATATGCCTGTATTGGTGTGCGTGAATTGTGTCCTCAGGGGCTGATGTCTCAGCTGTCCAAGTGCTGTCTCGACGCGCGACGCGGCGCGTTCCACCGAGTTATACAGCCAAGGAGAGACCGTGGAATTTCCATCATTCGCATAGTATTGAGAAAGACCGAATTTGATATTTGCACGAAGGACAGCCTGACGAAGGATAGTCGGAGTAGATACCAGCGATGCTGGTAGGTTAAGGCAACACGCGAGCGTGCGGCGCTCTCGCGTTGAGTCGGTTCGGCCCGATAGCCGCCCGTTCCCATCACAACCTGCCGGCGTGTTCCCAACTTCCTGCCAAGAACGTTGAGACGGGTGAGTGCGCCCAAGAATCGTTGCGCAAGTTGACTCGTGATTCTGTGAGTTCTGCGTACCAGAGTTCTCGTTATACCTCGAGTACTTGGTAGACCAACTATGCTATCCAAATATCACGGCCGCATCGGGGCCGACTTGCCCGCGAGTGGTTCTATTCATCGCCGATACATTATCTTATCGACGTTTTGCAAGCCGATCTGTGTACTTCGTCTGTCGTCTAACTGACGCATATCCATGAGAAGCTATACGCACCCATAGGAGCATGCATTTCAGGCCTAGTATAGCTAGTATAATACCCTCTGCAACTTACACTTGCGTTTCTATCTCGACCTTCAACCCATGATCTCGCGCGCGTTCCGTCTATCATATCTTCCCTGTGAACGAACGCCTTCGACGTATGGAGTGGGCCCACCTTCTACACGTTCTAGAGTCCGGACGCGCAATTGCACCCAAGAAGGGCATCTTCGCGAGGATGGGAGAAGAGGGGATGCAGTGATGGCGTACCCCGCAGTCAGCATAGTGGGGACGCATGTATAGCACTTACGCTGAATATATGCGCGCGGTCCGAAGAGCCTGGGCGATTCACACTTGGGACGATCACGGAAATGCGTATATTGCACCGGCCGCTCGCACCGAACGCGCCGCACGGTCGGAAGAATGTAGACAAAGGAATCGTACAAGCACGCGTCCGCCGCTCGGATTGCTTCGGATGAGCGCATATGCGACGTATGGTTCCAAGCCGATAGCAGAAGACAGAGGCTTCGGATGGCGATGGAGCCGAGGCTGTCAACCCAGATCTCAATCAGCCTCGAGGGTTGCTGAGCGGCGCCTTCGGGCTGCGGTTCAACCCATGAGAAGTCTCTTCGCCCAGACGAACCACAGTCCTGTGCGCGTCAGAACGATCTCTGTACCTGTATTCTGTTCGACTGGAGATTAAGCACATGCCGCCCTGTCACGCCTTTATTGTTCGTACTTGTGACGCAGTTATCGACAGCCTGAAGGAGCGAGCGACGAACGAGTTCGATCGGGGAACCAGGAACGCTGATGATACCGGTCCTCGACCGCCGAACGAGCCTGAGATGGCGCTCTTTGTTTTCGGCTTGATGGTCGCGCGGCGCAGAGATTCCGGAAGCGCCGCGAGGCAGTAATTGAGAAAGTTGAACCGCAGCAGAATACCAGAACTTGAGCGCCTGCAGTGGCCCAAATCTGGAGCCACAGCTACCCACAGTTGAAGGAGCAGTGAGATGAGATCTGGCGAGGGGAAAGCGGTTCACTCGGACATGATCATGACAACCAGTGGAGCCGCTGGAAAGAACAGGGCTGGCGGGATGACGCTGAAGCCGTTCGGCGGGCGGGAGAAGCGCTCGTCGAAAGTGAACTTCACGTGACCGTCCGAGGCGAAGGCGGGCCTTTAAAAACGAAATAATCCTGAAAGTTGTTCGCGAACGACTACGACGACCGGCTGCGGTGGACTTGTATCGGTGCTTGAGGCCCGATTTTCTGTAAAGACTGTGAATTTATACGGTGCGTACTCGCCTCTATGCGCCCGAGAAAGAAGCGTGGACGCTGAGAACGGGAAAGGCATCAGCGGTGAGGCGCCCACAAGGCCAAACAAATCGCACGGAGCGTTCAACTTCGTGAGTGAAGCGCCCGCGGTCCCTTTGCCTTTTGCCCTTTGGACTGAATATTCCTTGCTGCTCAGGCGCGGCCTCCTCCGTCCCGACGCTCTTTCTGGTTCGGACCCCGAATATTGGACTTTTGACAGCTTTGCCTCCGTGCGCTGTAGTGTGACTTCAAGTTGGAAACCGGACGTGGTGAGTGGGGCTCGTGGCTGCCTCGTGCCGCCAGCCGGTTCAGTCGAACAATGAGCTCAAGTCTCCAACAGCCATCATAGCCCCGGCTCATCATCCTCAAGGTATAAACCACCAGGTCAGTCGCGCCTTATAATGTCGCCATCAACTCGACCGCTGATCTAGCCTTTGCTCTCTCCCCCACCTACCGTGCCTCGTGCCTCGTCCACCAACGACCTTTGTACGACCACCACCACGACCGCTGTATCGCTATCACCCACACTGTATCCCCTGATCTCTTATTCTCTCGCCGGCACCATCTTCGCCTTGGCCACCGACCACCATGACCGCCGTGTTTGTCCGTCACCCGCTCTCAACAATTTCTCTGCATGGTCGTGGACAACCAGGCTTCTCTACTACTACAACTCTTGCTACCTCTCGAAAGAGGAATTCGGCTGTACTTGACTCGGACGATAACACCGACATGCAATCTTACCTGGCAGCTCCCTCCGCTAATGGCCGCTATCTCGCCCCGCCTCCTTCATCCTCGTCCGGCCGCCGCATCCCCGCGTTGAAGATCGGCGAGGATATAGACGACTTTCTTTCGTCTGATCTCGAGCACTCCTTTGCTTCGAACATGTCCCTTCAGTCGCCCGACAAGTCCGGCCTGTCTGTAGCCGACAGTGATGCTATGGAGATCTCGCCCATGCCTATGCGTACCTTCAAGTCTGAGAACGTCGACTTGGAGCAGGCAGCGCGTAGGAACTTGCTCGGCAATCGCCCTCGTGCGAGCACCGTCAACTTGGGCGTCCAGCGCCTGTTCGGTCGCGATGCCAGCAATGACGACATGTCAACCATGTCGGGCGCATCAAATGGTACCAAGTCGTCGAACAAGCGCACTCAGCGCGCCGCCCTGCCTTTTGAGTGGATGTCTCAGGCGCGTGAGCCGTCGCCCGTTGCCCAGGCTGCGGTCAGTGTTCCACCGGTTCATGTCAGTCTGGACTGGGTATTGATTACCGTCTGCTCATATAGCCCGCCTCGGACGACGCCATGGATATAGACTCGTCCTACTCGCAGTCCATTTCTGTCGAGGTCGACGCTCCGTACGTGGACCTGTCATCGCCGGAGCCTGCACCACTCTCCGCCGCGCCGACGATCACTGGCTTTGACACCTTCTCACCGGCACCCCTATCAGCGGCGCCGACAATCAAGGGCTTCGACGCATTCTTCGACGCAGTTTCACCGGAGCGCTCGCGCGACGACATCGCCGCTCATCCTGCCAAGAAGCGGCGCTCAATTTCGCCTCCCCGTGCTGGCCGTCGCCGCTCGGGTACCATTGGCAGCCCACTTGCGCTCGACAGCTCTCCACTTGCAGCTTCGCCCAGTGCCCTCAAGTTGGAGCGTATTCTCTCTGGTGGCCCCAGCTCTGGCGCTGCTCGCCTGCCCAAACCTATGCTCTCCGGTCTCGGAGCACCCGACGCGGTGAACCCTAACAAGCGCGCTCGCCGTCCCGTCGTATCATCCATGATCGCTGCGCCTGCAGAGCCTGCTCTTCGCTCGGCCAACCCCACTCTTGACGGGTCTGGTGCCCATCGCCCAATGCCACCGACCCGTCGCGCGTTCAGCGCTATGCTTCCACCTGGTGGAGCATTGACTTTGAACGCCCTCAACGCAGACGGTAGCGCTTCAGCCGATGAGAGCTCATTTGACCGCTCGGGCGATATGTCTTCGCCTGCAGCCGCGCATGTCAGGCGCCAACAAGAACGCACCCTCCGCCGTCGCGATGGCACAGACAACTTCCGGGCTGAGGGCAGTGGGTTGAGACATAGTGCGGAGATCAAGCGCGAGAGCCCTCGCTCGCGCGCGATGCCGGAGTGGGGTCTGGGAAGCTTCGGAGACAACGAGGCGGCGGGCAAGGTCTTGCCGTGCCATCGTGTGCGCGAGGATGGGCTGATGCGTATCAAGCCCGCCGCGCTCGACGACTTGCTTGACGGCAAGTATGCGAGCCAGATCGATGGGTACCAGATCATCGATTGCCGCTTCGACTATGAATACGCAGGAGGGCACATCCCGGGTGCGATCAACATCAACACGACGGCGGCGCTTGAGGAGTTTTTCCTTGGATCTATGGCACCGAAGCCCGCTCCAAGCACCTCCGGCGTTGGTCCGCGCAAGAAGATCCTTGTCTTCCACTGCGAGTTCAGCGTCAAGCGCGCCCCTACGTTGTACGTCTGTCTCTTCACACTCGAGACCTCAACCTTACTGACGTTCAATGTGCAGCGCGAAGCATCTTCGTTCGAAGGATCGTGCGATGAACAGCATGCACTATCCAAGCGTGTACTATCCTGAGGTATACGTTCTCGAGGGCGGTTACTGCAACTTCTTCAAGGAGTCTCGCGCCCGCTTGCGGCCCACCGGCTACGTCCGCATGGATGACCCTGTCCACGCGGCTTCGCGCAAAGAAGACCTCGACCAGTTCCGCAAGGGCAAGTTCGGCCGCACGCGCTCGTACGCTTACGGTGACATGCCTGGCGCCGGCAGCAAGTCTTCGTCGTCTGGGTCCAACATGACGGCAAAGCGCTCGAGTGCACCCACGCAGAGCGCGCAGATGTTGTTCGGTGCCGCCACGAAGAGGCGCAGCGCACTCGAGGCTCTTGCTGAAGATCACCCCCCGACGGATGAGGAGACGGACACGGATATCGGTGATAGTCCGTGCCCTCCGCCTACGCGCAATGTTGCGTTCAAGGGCAAGCGTATGGGCGCGCTCACCCGTGCACCGGGATTGATCCGCGCTGAGACCTACGACCCTTCGCGCTACGCCGCATACTGAACGCCTGGATCTGTGCATTGATCACGAATGGACAACCATCATGGACTGCAATATCGACATGTTTTCTCGCTTCTAAGCTTTGCCTCGCGCCATGCTGTATGATCTCCGGCCGCATCAGCTCTTTGCCTTAATGCGCCATGGACATACGACATTCGCTCGTCCCGACTCGTACTCGCCCCATGCTAGCCTTGGGCCGGCCCCTCTCGATCTAGTTTGCCCCTGATCTGAATCTCTCCATCTCCCATCTCCCCATATATAAGTATGCATCTATCCCTCTCTGCTCTACCCGCCTCCGAAGAATCAGAATCATCTCCAGCCTGTACTTCCCCACACGTACCCGCATCTACACGGTATCTGCTCCCAGTCTCCTATCATCTACGTCTGAAGACCCCCATCGCGACTGTAACATATTATAGGCCGAGTTTCTATGAACCCGGTCCTGCCTCACATCCGTATGCATGCATTTCCCTCTATTCCTTCCTACTCCTTCATATTCATCTTCATCTTCATCTTCTCATCTCACTCTTCGTTTGAGCGCCTCGTGATCATTCGCCCTCTTGCCGAGAGCTACTATCCCTTCGACCTACTGCATTTGTTTCTTGACGGACCGTTTCATGCCCCGCCGAGTCGACCTTTGCTACTACCTTTTCTTGTTCCCTTCTGCATCTTCAGTTGAAATGAAAGTACCCACTGGATTTGGATCACCATACTACCCATGCGCTCTTGAAGACTCAATGCTAGGAGTTGCTTTCTCCGAAGCGCTCACAGACGTCATCGTACTTTACAGGTGAGCGGCAATTCCTATGGGTTATCCGTGCGTGACTATGATATGCCTATACAATTCAGAGTGGAGTGTTCAACACCTCACAGAAATTCATCTCGACGCCTTCTATGGCATTAGACGCCAAAACAAGTATAATCGTCGCTGATCTCCGTGGACGCATTATCCCGGGTCAGTCGGGAAATGGGTTGTGGCCCTTGTGGGTCTCGAGGGACCTCATCATGCGAATATAGGATCTGTGCGGGTCCCCATCGGCACTCGAGCGCTTTCTTTCGGTTCGTCCGGTTCACCAACCGCAACGCTCTCAGGCCAGGGGACAGCCGGACGCCCTACAAGTACACAAGGCTATCGGTCTACGGGCCTCATGACGTATGCACGTTACTTCAGTATCTCGAGCGGTTCGAACTTCAGAGAGCACCTCTGAGCACCTTTGACAGTTTTTCATCACAGACGACTTCACACCTCTGCGCCCTGAGACCTGAGGCCTGATAGTCGATTTCGCTGTATGCATAATTCGGGAGCTGGCGCGCGGTCGCGTGTGGCACTTCTCCCGCTGTCTCCCTCATGCCAAACCTGGATGATCCCACATATGCTGATCCGTGCCCTGATCCACCTCCCCGTCAGGAGCGTTCATAGCTCGTAATGCTAGAGACGAAGCGGTCACGCGGTCCGACGACATCTGCTTCTGCGAGAGTGGGCCAATACGTAGTACGTATATAAAGATGTTCACGGCCCACTCAACTTCCTTGCTCACGGAATCAGACAGCTCTCGCTTCATCGCATCACAGTCAAGCACCGATGTCTCTCCCTTCAACTCAAAAGGCTCTACTTCTCCCTCGGTGCGGCCCCGACGCGGCTTACGCAGTCGGTGAACGCCCGGTGCCACAGCCAGGCCCCGGTCAAGTTCTCATCCGCAACGTCGCAGTCGCGCTCAATCCCCTCGATGTTGGCATTCGCACCTTAGGCCTATATGTATCCGAGCAGGATTGGCCTACCGTGGCTGGGTGGGATGGTGCGGGCACGATTGCCGTGCTTGGTCCTAACGTCCAGACTTGGGCTGTTGGCGACGTAGTGATGTACCAGGGATGGGCACCGCCGGACTATGGGACATTCCAGGAGTATACGTTGGCGGAAGCTGAGCTCGTCTCTCGCGTACCTGGCAACATCTCCATCGAAGAGGCAACCACAATCCCGTCCGCCTACGCGACTGCTGTTTGCCCGTTGTACAACACGCTTAGCGCTGAACATGCTCTGGGTCTCACCCCGCCTTGGGATGAAGGTGGACGAGGCAAGTACGCCGGTCAGGCGGCTCTTGTCATCGGCGGTTCCGGCTCAGTGGGGCAACTCAGTGAGGTGTCTTTCACTTATACTATGCGCAAATACTGACCATAGTTTCAGCCTTGCAGATGCTCAAGCTCAGTGGCTTCTCACCCATCATCACTACAGCATCGAGTAGCAACGAAGCTTACTGCAAAAGCGCTGGTGCAACGCACGTCATCGACTATCATACTACGTCGTACGATGCTCTTCCCGACAAGGTCGCCGAGCTCCTGAACGGCGCGCCGCTCGCACTAGCAGTGGATGCCATCTCGGTACCGGAGAGCCAGAAGGCGTCGTGGTCGGCGATCGCGCCGGGTGCCAAGCTCGTTCTCGTGCTTCCATCCGTCCTTGAAGTCGAACTTGGGAAGCCCGAGAAGGAATCAGGAAAGACTGTCGTGATGGCGCACGCCGTGTGGAAGTCGGAGGAGAACCTGAAGATCGCGGCGCGTGCATGCAGGGAGCTTCCCGGTTTGGTAGAGAGTGGTGATGTCAAGGTTCGTACACGTCTATATGCTGTGGAAGATGAAGTTCTAACTGTCGTCAACGCAGCCCAATCACGTTGAAGTACTTCCTGGTGGTCTGAAGGGTATCAATCCTGGCGTTGACCGGCTGGAGGCGAAGAAGGTCAGCGGCGCGAAGCTTGTCGTTCATCCACAAGAGGGTGTATGAACTGTACCGCATCATGGTCGTTCCACTGAGAATCGTGCCTCGCACGATACGTAGTGGAAGATAAAAAGGGATAGGCTTCAATGATATACTTTTCGTGACCCTCATGGAGACAGACTTCGGGCACCCATCCCTTATAGCATTTGGTGCGTCATTTACCGCATGCGTCCGTCTGGCGAGCGTCGAGCGTCCTCGGCGCAAACGCGGTCCATGTAACCGCAGATATACCACGATACGCCCTCAGACTATACGGACGTTTCTGACGCCCGTGAGGCGCACGTAAAGTAACGGCGAACGCTATGTTGCGCAGCTCATAGAGTCGAAGGCTGCACTGGCAATCCTGTGGCTACTGGTTCACACACCGATTTATACTTTCCTTGGATGTGAATTCTAGGCGGCCATGAGAGATCGACTACGTCTCAGGTCATACATCTTCGCGGAAGCTGGTATGGCGGTCTCTATGCACTACATATGATGCTGCAACACCGGCGACTGGGACTGGCGAGCAGAAGCTCCCCGGCTCATTTGAGTTCGATCCGCTGTGTTCGGCGGCGTCAGCGTCTTATGCATGATGATGTAGGGCGCAGATGAGCGTCTCACTTATATACTTATCGATGGACAGCGTGTGACTATAAGTATAAGGCCAGCCTTCAATACTCTCCAGGCGTCTCGGGTTGAGATCAATCTAGTCCGATACTTACAGTTCATAAGATCTGTACCTGATGGGTGTAATTCGGTAAACGCCGTCGTAGTGTACGCTATACACACTGTCCGACCTGCGGTCTGTAGCCGCCTGAAGTGCGAATAATCAATCATGTACGCTGCGCGCCTGCACAAATCGCGGAGCAAACGATACTTCGCAATAACTTGAGCGAACGTGTGGCGCGATGTCACCATCAGAACAAGTGTCCACCATCTGCTACAAACACATGGGACCTGGAAAGGTCTCGAATCCGCCTTAGCGAGCACGGCGTCAATAAGTTACAAACCTGGCCGTAAAGCACACGAGTGGCAGACGGTGTGAGGCGGCAGGAGCATAGACGCCCAAGGTAGCCTACAACACGCGCTGTACGCCCAATACAGGAACGAATAGAGATAAAGCACAGATAACGAGCAACATACAACAGATGGACGATAGCTGATATAGATATGCGATACAGAAGCGGAGGATCCGCTGAGGCACAAAGCGATATGGGCAGCGGTGGTAGTACAATCTTGATTGTGACTTTGGATCTGGGCGAAGATCCGTGGTTGGACAAAGGGTGGAGCAAGAGGCGGAGAAGTTCGGCGGGCGGGACGGGGATAACGGCGCTGAGATTTGCGTGCCGTGGTGGTTCGCGTTCGAAGCCGCCCCCTCTCCACTGAAGTCGATGTCAGAACCCGGCGCTTCTAGCGTAGGTTTGTGAACACACCTTCACAGCCAATGATGGCGGGGTAGAGTCACCGACGTGTCGAGGCCCATACGACGCTAGAGTAACACTCTGGATCGTAGCAGTCGGCCGTTTTGCATCTCCTACGCGTCCCGTCCTCAAGTTTCTCCGTCTTCCACTTGCATTGGTCAACTGGCGTAGATGTTTGCCAGTCTTGTTCCCGGCTTTCCTCCTTCTTCGACTCGGCGCGCGAGGCGGCGGTGCAGGTGTGGCACGGCATTGCGGCGGTCTGATGCCGGGGATCAGTGTGGGTAAGTGAGAAGGATGCTGGGTGTACGCACGCGAGGGATACGGGTATTTGTATGTTCGGCAGCGGGACGGACAACAATGGGTACGGGGACGAAAAGTGCGCGGCCGGGGTATCGACGGCCCGTTGAGGACTTGGGTGGATGCGGACGGGCGCGGGCTATATACGCCACAACGATTGGTCAGACATTCCGGCAGACCGCGCGCGCATTACGGATACAACAGAAAAGTGACGCACCTGGATCGCGTAGCGCTGTAGGATAGCACAGGAAACAGTATGGTGCGGCTGTAGAGAGAGGGCGCTGGTTATATAAATCCGGTGCGGGAAAGCTAGGTGAGACCACAAAGCAGGGCCGGGGTGAGAGGAGGGACCGCGGACGCGCAGGCTTTATAGATGTATTGTGGGCGTTCTCCGTCCGGGCGATGCGAAAGGTTGATCAGGTTCCAGATTTGTGAGCGCGCCCAAAGCCTCACAGATTTAGATCCTGTGTAGAACTCGGTGTCCGGGTCTCTGCGCGAGCGGCCTCCGCGCCGGGAAACCCACTTCGCACGGCTAAGGCCACGTATCTGGATGGGCTCGCACAAATCTGTGACAGTCGGAAATGCGTCAGAGATCGCCGTACTGTGTTAGTAGAGTCTAGACGTGATCATCTGTTCTCGGGAAGGGTGACGCTGGGGGAAAGTGGATGCGGGCATGACGCAGTGGTGTGCACAGGCAGAGCGCGGACAGGTCAGACGGCGCTCGTTGGACGCGGATAAACGTCCGTGTACAGGCACACGAGGTCGTCCTCTCCCGAAGCTCCTATTCGCATAACATACGCCACGCTTACACCAGAAGAGGTTTATGAGAGGACGGGCGTAACGGCGGCGGCGGGACAGGAACACGCAGGCGGCAAAATTCGATGGTGTCGTTCCCTTGTGATTCTTCGCTCTATTCTTTGACAGAAGATGTGGATGCGTGCCTGCACGGCACATCGAGATCGAAGTGAAGATGCTGGGAAGCGGAGATGTGGCAGAATCGCTAGAATTCCTCGGTCCGGTGCTCGGCGCCGTGGCGGAGTGCGGCAAGTCGCCGCAACGTCGAGCCGCGGCCTGTATCCGCGTCGGTCGCCACTTACCACGATGAGCTCGACTTCAGGCAGATCCCGAATACCTATACGTGTCTCAAATGGTCGCGCCTTTGTTTTTGATGTGGACCGTGAGTCTCTCGAGCGTTCAACCATCCGATACGCGTATGAAATTTCTATGCCCTGAAGGGTAGATGTCGCCACATTACGTTCGAAACACCGTATTTGCGGTGTACTGGGAGGCACGCTCCCGCATCTATCGCAACAGAATGTGTTCCTCGGTTTACCCCTTCTATTAATGCCCGAGGAAGTCAACCTCCTAGTCGACAAAGGTATGTGAATCCGTATACAGAAACTACTTCTATTCATCATGTGATCCTTTTCCAGGTCTCGCCGTCCTTGTCGATGATCCGCACGCATATCGCCTTCCTTCAGCACAAGAACTGCAGGACTGGGACGACAAGCGCGCCGCTGACGCTCTAGCGCAGCTACGCCGTGCTGCGGGCGCCCAAGCCGTTGGACGTGCTCAACTCGCAAATAGCCCGGCAGCCGCAGCAAAACGCGCCGCGCGAGAGGAGAAGAGGCGCCTGGCGGCAGCAGCTGCTGCCGCTCAGAACGAGAACGGAGGGGTATTCACGCCTGAGCCCGAACCCGCTCCCGCTTCTGCGCCAACTCCGGTACCAGCACCTCTGGAGGGTGACTCGATCAACATAGCGCTTGCATCCAAGGAGCCGTGGACAGTCTCAGTAGCAGGCGGCTCGGATGACCTGCCTTGGTACCACTCAGACCGAGCTTCGTACAGTTCGCTTGACGCTGCACGGGCAGCCGGCGTTTGGACACATCCAGAGAATGAGGTTGACCGTACTCGATGTGCTGTCTTCCGTGACCTATGGGAGAAGGGGTATTATATGGGCGGAGGTAGTAAGTTTGGTGGTGACTGGCTGGTGTATCCTGGTTCGTCATTTGTCCTACATCCTCGAAATTGATCATTGGCTAAAAATAATATTTTACAGGCGATCCTCTCCGCTACCACTCGCACTTTGTCGCAACTTCGCATGCTGCGAAAGACCCACTCCGACCAATGGAGATTGTGGCGCATGGTCGGCTGGGCACGGCGACGAAGAAGGCTCATTTACTCTGTTCTTGGGATGCAGAGAAGGGGGAGGTCAAGTACATCAGTATTGAATGGGCTGGATTCGGCTAGATGGCGTATGCGTATAGACTCAAGATGTGCACAAGATGTATATATACAGCCTGGATCACAATGCGCTCAGTCGACCTTCTTGTGCCCTTGCCCCTGCCTCAACCTTGGAGTCCTTGCATTACCCGCCTCAGCGCCCTCAGCGCCACTCCACCCTCTCCTCGGACCAAGTCCATCCTTCTTCTTTCCCTCCCGCTCCCTTCCTAATGCCGTCCCTCCCCCCACCTTCCGCCTCGTAATCCACTCGATCGCTCTGAGCACCATATCATCGACCCATATCGCCGGCTGAAACACCGGCATGCGGATGGGTACCAGCGGGCTCGGGAACGCGTTGTTGCCCTTGGGCGCGTACGGTTCTTGTGGAGCGGGACGCGCGTGCGTGGACATAAGCACATATGGCGGACAGAGAGCCGCGAAGAGCGCCATGTTGAACAGCGGGTTGTATGTGCAGGAGCACGCGAGTGTAGCGGGCAATCCGAACGCGGCGTAATACGCCCACCTCTCCTCCAATCCCCTGACTCGCTCGTTGAGACTCGACCCTCGTGCGATCCAGACGTGCTCGAAGAAGTAGTAGCTGTTGACCCAGGAGAAGTACGCCGTTTCGGCGAGTGTGCCCAAGATTGGGATTGGTATGCGACCGAGAGAGAATGAGAGTAGCGCGCAGGTGGTCAACATCGTGAAGCGGTAGGCAGATGTTGCGAGGGTGTGAAGTAGAAGCAGATAGGTGTTGCGGGTTGGTGCGGGTGGAGGTACGAAGGCCGCGGGGCCGAAACGGAGGGTATATGATCTGCGTGCGAGTGCTGCAGTCCAAGTGCTCTACATAGAAGGTCAGACCGTGTAACAAGGCGATAGCAGAATCAAGACATACATTGAACCACAGACTTGCGGCCGCAAGGGGCGCAAGCCATATCAACGTATACAGCAGCCCCAGGTTCCGCGCAAAGAACCCTCGTTCGGAGTTAAGCGTGAACGGGTGCACGAGTGCATCCAGTGCAAGTGCGAATAGGGCACTCAGACCATTCAATAGTGCCGCTTTCGCCGCATTGGCTCGAAGTTCGGGATCACTGCCTGACGAGCGGTCAGCTCGTCGTCAATAGTGGACTAAGAGACGGTGACGCACGTCGCAAGCAACCTGGCTACGATATCCCATCTCCACGCATCTCTTAGTCCATTCATGAACCAAGTGGCTTGGAGCATCAATGAGTCTGCCAACGGTAGGAAAGTTGGGTATGCTGATCTCGGATCGGGGTATGCCTGTCGGGGCTGCTGTGGCGGATACTGTTGTTGCGAAGACACAGAGGCAGCATAGTTGTGGCGTGGCCCTCCAATAGTTGAGGTCGGGGAAGTCGGCATGCTCTCCCCGTAGCTGCTCCGAGGTGGCATGGCCGTTGTAGTTCTCGACGGTGCGTAACTCGTCTGCGATGGCGCATAGCCAGCCTGAGAACGGACGTCACGGTCGTATCTGCTCCGCGGAGAGCTGGCTTGGGACTGCCCGCGGGAGGACGCAGCAACAGAGTGAAGTCTGGTAGCTTGAGATCTAGGACTCGCAGGGGATGACATGGGCGGTGAACCAGGGTGTGAGCTCGCACGCGCCCAGGCGTCCCCAGCCGGCGAGCTCGATTGTAACGGGCCACGCTGAGGATGTGCGCGGGCGGACGACATATTCGATTCGCAGCTTCAGTTGGCCCAGTAGAGTAAGTGGATGACTAGTCTCAGTCAAGTGGTAGGATCGACGCTGGGACAAAGGGACGATCAGAACAAGAACTGACAGTACTGTGACAGGCAACGACCCAACCGCGAGGATCGGCCACGCCGCTTGGCGCCCACAACACGCACGCACGCTAAACACTGATTGGCTCGCGTCGCGATCACGTGTATTATCCTCGTGTATTGCGCGCGTCAGGGGCTTTTCCGAGAAGTCTTTCCCGCGAACGGAACATAACATACAAACAATTGGCATAGATGGATTCCGTAGCGCAAAAGGTTCAAACACATAAACGTGACATCGTAGTCGTACACAAAAGCTAGTACACCAATAGGATCGAGAGGGAAAGAGTCTAAGGAAAAGGGGGATTCGTGTGTCACGGGCGGGAGAGGGAACGCAGGGAATGGAGTCCAGAGAGGCGCATACACAGTACGCAAAAATAGATAGGCGACTAGCAGCTACACTACATCGACATAGACGTTACAGATACGATTGGGCGTGACATTTACTTGCGCGAAGACTGTAAACAAAAGAGACCCCAAACGTCAGCGATCGTCGTCCAAACGCCGACGGCGAGGGAGAAAACGCACCTTACGCGTGCCCGTCGAAGCAGCCTTTGCGGGCGCCTTCTTCGCGGCAGCAGTCTTCGCCTTAGTGGTCGCCTTGGTGCCCGTCACCTCCTACACCGCCGCAAGTCAGCACCATTCATCTCCTCGACATATGAAAATGGAGAAAGACAAACCTTCTTGGCGGCCCCGCGCTTGCTGGCCGTGGTGGTCTTCTTCTCAGGAGTAGCCTTCTTCGTGCGGCCTGCGAGCTCCTTCTTCGGCGCCGCCTTCTTCGCCGGGGCGGCCTTCTTCTCAGTTGCGGCAGCCTTCTTCTCCGCCGCGGGTTTCTTCGTGGCGGCAGCCTTGGTCGCCGTCTTCTTCTCAGCTGCAGGCTTCTTGGCCGCTGCCGTCTTGGTCGTGGTCGTCTTCTTCTCTGCAGCGGGCTTCTTGACGGCAGGCTTCTTGGTAGTGGTGGCGGCAGCCTTTGTGGGCTTGTTCTGTGATGGGGGAAAGCCAGTGTGAGCAAGCTGCGGATGACGGGCCGGAGAATGCCGAAGAACAGTAGCTTACCTCCTTTGCGACCTCGGCGGCGGGCTGCTTGTTCTTCGGCGCAAGCTTGACACGCCCAGAGGTGCCTACGAGAGTGTAGAATCATGATCATTATGTGAAGGAGATGAATGAACAGAAGGGGAAGGGCACTTACCCTTGGGGAGGACGAAGACGCCGGTCTCCTCGCCCCGAGCAATAGCCTTGCTCAGCTGCGTGGTCTGCGCGTTGCCAATCTCAAGCTTGTACTTGTCCTCGACGTACCTGAAGAGTCGAGAACACAGGTAAGCTACCCGGACTGAGAGGGAAAAGAAAATAGATGACGGACTTCTTGATCTGAGGGCGTGAGACACCGTGCCGTGCGTCCTCGGTGTTATCAGCGATGCACTCCTACACAGACGCGGTGTTAGCTTCCAAGATTTCATGCATAGCACTTGAGAGAGGTAATAAGAGTGCCTGCAAGCTGTATGCGGGCTTCCGTGGGGTGGGGGAAGAGGGGCGGCGAAGGGGGAGCAACATGGTCCGTGCGCGGCGGCAGCCGGAAGCGGCAACGCGCATCTCAACTTCAGCGCCGCACCCAACGACGTCCGGACAAGTGCGGACAGTAAAGCATCGCCGACAGTGACCTAGAGAGTCTTCAGAAGTGTATTGAATATTTACCTTGATCATCTCGATCCAAGTCGGGTGAGCGGGGACAGCCTTCTCCTTGGGCGCGGCCTTCTTCGTCGCCTTGGTCGCCGAAGTCTTCTTGCTGTTGGTCGACATCGCGTGTAGTAGTTATATAAGAGCTGTGGGAGGTATCTGGTAGGCCTGAAGGCGAAGTATAATGCACAAAAAAGCGCGGGACGGGTCAAAGCGATGTGGGGTGGTGGTGGGCAGGAGCAAGTGATGTGCGATTAACGCGCCCGCGGCTTAAGTCGCCAGTCAACAGAAGTGAGCCCCAGTCGGCCACGTGACGCCTTGTGCACTCACCACCAGGAACACGTACTCCCACACCCCTCCTCAAAGAACCAAGTACCCCAAACACTTACTGGTGTACAGGAGGGCCTACGAGCCAAAAAACCGAGCGCGAAATCGAGTCGCAACACCGTCTACACCGTCGTCGGACTTTATGTGCTTCCCACGTACGATCTGAGAATCACAGAGCCACAAGACTTTCTACACGACCCACATCAGGTTAACCACTAACATTGCAACTTTAAAGCACAGCAAAAGACGCGTCCGTTGTGGAGGGGCGTCCTTTGCAACACCATGAGTGTCGAGGAGAAAGACGCGATCGGGTCTGTCGGTCCGGAGAGGCGCGGGCCACGCAACGTGGCTTCTCGCGTGCGCATCGTGCCTAGACTCGCCGAACCCCGAAATTCACGCGCCGGACATTGGCTGAGCTTGAGAAGGAACGACCATGTCCGCTTCGTTGCAAGCGTCAGCACGAGCAGCGTACCGCGACTTATGGCGCGCGTCGCGCTTTACATTCTCAGGTGCGTATAATGCGAAAGACTCGATATACAATCCCGTATACTGAACCACGGCATAGGTGACCCGCCTATACTTACTGGTGCGCCACAACTCTATATATCCATGTGTACCTCATGCTAAATGTACTTTCAGCCTTCCGCGAGAAGATGCGCACGGATGCTGCAGCGTGGAAAGCAGCGCCCGATGCGGACTCCGCGAACGCGAACTTCCAGGCTGCGCGCGACGTGGCGGCTTTCCTACGCCGCAACGTTGTACAAATGCGCAAGACCGCACAAGTCGACGCAGAGGGAAATGAGGTTTACCGTACGTATTTATATGCTAGCTCACCGCCTGACGATGTGGGGCTTAAACAACGGACGTCCAGACGTCGGTATGAACAAGTACAGCGAACTCGGTGATAATGACGCCAACCGGTACGCGAAGAAGGAGGTCCCGGATATGGCCGAGGTGCGGAGACAACGTCGGGCGGCTAAGTCGGCATGTCAGGCTGCTGCAGAGGCTGCCAAGGCTCAAGCGTGCGTTCACACCCCATCTATCTCCTTAACGCGACTCTCAGTCTGAGGTCTGACTTGTAGATGACTTACCAGCGTACCGGATTCAGCCTCGGAGGATACTGGTGATGTTATAGAGGACGGAGGGAAGAGGAGGAGTTTGAATTACTCGCAATTGAAGCGCGCCGCGAAGGAGAGGATTATGCCGGAGTTGAAGGAGAGTGATCTAGAGGAGAAGTTCGTGCGCGGTATGTTCTGCTTGGTTCAAAGCATGAAATGGCACACGGACTCGGTTGCTGACTGGTTTATTCAGGTAGCGGCCCTGGTGGACAGTCCATTAACAAGACCCAGAACAACGTCCAGCTCCTGCACGTTCCGACCGGAATACGCGTAACGTGCCAGGAAACACGCTCTTTAGAACAGAACCGCAAGATTGCTCGCAAGATACTACTAGACAAGGTATGCTTTCACTGAACATTTCAATCAGTCGATCCTAAGCTGACTGGCGCTTACTAGCTTGATGCCATGGCGAACCCAGGGCTATCCAAGAGCGAGATGAAGCGCGCGAAGCAACAAGAACGCGAGCGTCGGCGGAGAAAGAAAGCGAAGAAGAAGGCACGATTGGCTGCGGGCAGTGAGGATGAAGATTAGGCGATCAGGATACTATACCTTCCTATAATTCCTCATATATATGCATCGACCCATTTCAAGCCTGAGCGCGATCTCCGGCTCATAAATCACGGTCATTGCCGGGCAAGCATTCTCACAGTGTCGATGGCGCCAGTCACGATGCACGTTCCTTGAGTACCGTCACCATCGAAGAGCGACAAGATCGCCGAAACAACTCTTGCATCCATGACAGATAGCACTTCAGCTCCCTTATCGACTAACATCGCGTCTCTACCGCTCATTGCTCGGTACGCGAACAGTCCTTGACCTACCCAATATCAACGGTGGCTGATGGGACATGCCTAGCCTAAACGGAGACTGTCTAGCTACTATCTTCTTCGCGAGCGTACAGGACGAATACAATACCGACGATCAACTGCGACGGCTGCTTCATCTGACGCACGTATGTCGTGCATGGCGCGATCTCGCCTTAGGCCTGGCCGAGTTATGGGGCGACGTCGTTTTCGCCAATCCCAACCACCTGGACGTTATACTTGAGCGTGCTCGTGATGCACCGCTATCTACCTACCATCCACCGAAAGCGCATTTGCACGATGTGCATAAGAACTTCCTGATGTCGCATTTCCATCGATTCCAGAGAGCAGAAATGAGACAACGCCTTGATCTAGCTCCTTTGCTCGTGCAGAAGCCGACCAACACACTCACTACCGCTCAAATCTATCTGGACAAAGGTGGATCGCATATAGATGGCATTTGGCACGCACCCGCTCTTCGTAAGCTGGCCCTTTCCGGCTGCAAGTTGCAGACCGAAGCTCCAAAGCTTCAGAGCCTTGGCGTCTATCGCATGGCAGACATGGACGATGCGTGGCTTCGAGCCCTGCTCTCCTCTCTGCCCCTGTTGCAGGAGTTTTTCATCGATCATTTACCATACTTGGCCCCAGAAACGCCCCCAGTACCTATTGAACTCCCTTCTATCGCCAAACTTTCGCTCGGTTCAAACACTCTGTCCACCGCACAGTTCATAGAACGCTTGACGCCTCTGAACATAAATCGCGAACTAGATCTCATGATATTGAGAGACCATCTGAACTTCCCATACGTACCGCGTCTGGCCAATGCCCTCGGTCCCTACCTGCGCGACTCTGGCTGTAACTCCATGGGAATCAAACTTCCGCTCACTGGAGTGCGGTTCTGGAAGGACAAGTTGGGCGAAGACACCAACAATGCGATTGTACACGAGCGGACGGTACTGTCGATGGGCGTCACGGTACGGCCGTTGACGGAGCGCATCATAGCTGCTCTGCTCGAGCAGATCCCGCCGTCCAACCTCGGCTACTTCCATCTCTCGGGTATGCCCGATCCGGAGACACGGCGGATAGTACATACCCCACGACTTTCCGACTCCGTGCACACAGTCGTGTGCGAGTTTCAGGATATTGAGGATATCTTAGCGATCCTGGGACGCTGCTTCCTTGATCCACCGGCACCCACGGCGTACTCCAAGCTCCAAGTCTTCGAGATGCGATGTCCCCTTCCGCTGGCGCCGCACCCCCCGGACAGGATGGTGGAACTCATAATCATGCTAGGCCTCTGGCTCGAGACGCGTCGTATGACTGGACTTCCTCTGCAAGAGGTTCGAGTACTCGCTGACGCCGGGAGCTCGAATATCCTGTTCAATCCATCTACAATTACTGCCTGGGATTCAATCCAAGCTATGGTCAAATTCGTGAAACTCTAGTCTTCAGCTCATGGCACAATGCGCGACAGCCACGACAACATGGACGCGCATCACAATCTATCACGACATAAACATATACAGTTTGCTACACGGCTTTCGATGATTATCGGAGCTCTTTCGCTTGGATCGCAGGCCGATCGCCATGCTCCCGGTGCGAGCATCTTCACGCCCCATCTGCGATGCGCGCAACGAGCTTGGAGCCGCTGACTTTCTTCGCCTCCAAACGCTCGAGACCCGCAGGGATACCCGCCAGTCCTCCGGGAATGACCTCGACCTTGTTTGGCTATCGACAAGCGCAGTCAGCTCTCATCCCTACACGCCCAAGCGAACAAGTGCGGACCTTGATATCACCACTCTCCAAGAGACCCGCGATCTTACCGTACATGCGTGCGCCAAACTCGAGGTTCTCCTCCCCGTTCGACGCCCCGTATGCATGCACGACCTTCTTTCCATCCTCCGTCGTCTCTCCAAGCGGACTGTCGATCGCGGATTCGAGCACGACTACGAGTGTACCGCCCGACCCGAGTGCGGCCCACGATGCCTTTTGACTCTCGGGTATAGAGATCGCATCGTATGCGACTGCGAGCGGCGCTCCGCCGAGGAGCTCAGCCACCTTACTGGCAAGCTCCGAGTACGGGACAGCGTTGTAGTCGACGAAGTGCGTGGCGCCCGCGCTCTTGCAGTACTCCTCGTTGCGCGCAGACGCGGTCGTGATAATGGGCGAGAAGCCGCTCAGCTTCAGAACCTGCAGCGCTTCGTGGCGTTCAGCATCTTCACGCTGAGTTACATTCGAGGGAACGCAGACCCACCGAACTGTCCGACAGAGCTCGAGCCACCGATGACGAGCGCCGCTTTCCCCGCGTACTTCCCCTTCCCACCGGCCTCCCACGGCGCCGTGAACCCCGCACACCTAGTGCTCGACGCATTGTACAAAGCAATAGCGGCAGTACCGAGGCCAAGCGGGATCGTCGCGGCCTGCTCGACGCTGATGTTATCCGGGACGCGAGCGATGCGCGCGGCGTCCGCGATAGTGTACTCTTGGAACGTCCCGCGGTCGGGATTCCAGAAGCACTGGTACAGCACCGTCTCGCCCGTCTTCCATCCCTGCACGTCTGGACCGAGAGCGGCGATCTCGCCTGCGCCGTCGCTGCCGACTACGGCGGGGAACCCGTACGGCGAGACGAAGAGGCCGTAGGATCTGATTATCCAGTCGACGGGGTTCAAAGCGACGGCGGCGTTGCGGATTAGGACTTGGCCTGGGCCGGGCTGCGGGATGGGGCGGGTGCCGAATTCGAAGGTCTTGCCGGGTCCGGCGGCGGGGAGGAGTAGGGCTTTCTGCTGAGAGGGAAGAGTCATTGTAGATCTGAGGGTTGTACCGCAGAGAAGGATGGATTTGCGGATGATGGCTTATATATGGGTCATGTAGAGGACGTTCCCGTAGGTGTGAACACCGCCGAGTCGCCGACTGAGGTCGGCCATTCCCAGGTGGGGGCTTCCGTGGTACAGCAGTGAGAGCGCGTCCTTGCGAACGGGTATGGCGTGGATATGGCGTACTGTGAGGAGTGCGATGGATCAAGCTTCAGTCCTTTGGGTGACGCTGCGATGCCCGTGGAGGTGGATGAGCTAGCTACGACGCGCGCCGGCATGCGGGGAAAACGCGTCGGCGCGTCTGTGTGGGTCATACTTCTGGCTTCGAGCGCACGGCTATTCCGATTCTCTGAGGGCGAGGACGGCATGCCTGTCATTGTGCTTGCAAGAGATATGTTTGCGCGCTGAGGGCCCGAGCCACATCTTTTGTGTGGCACGTAGAGGATGCACAGTGTGCCACATGCAGCGCACGACGTGCTACACCCGAAGTGGACTTCGGGATTGGACAGAGTCTCTCCTAGAGCTCAAGCACCATTCTCGCAGTTACGATTGCGAGGCAATGACAGGGCTCTGGCGGAGGTCAAGACTGTGATACTGACCATGGTGGTCAACTGCACATCGCACGTCGCGGCAGGTCGCGGCCCCGCCGGCTGTACGCATGTGGCGCGCCAACCGCGCGATCTTTCCATCCTCACCTCAAGTGCATACATACCAGCTCTCTCTCAAGATGGACCCCTCGTGCATGCAGCATACAGGTAAATACGTTCTTCAGAGTCATAAAGAGCATCCGATGAACAATAGAAAAACAACTTCGTCTACCATTATGGGCCTGATTGGGAATTGAACCCGGGACCGGCTGACGCCGCGAGTGAGATCTATGCTCATCGACATACAGTAATAGGAATATTAAATTGGCTAGGGAAGGAAGACGGACACGCTAGCTTGTATACTCAAGACAAGGGCATTCATAACATGTTCATAGGACATGAGGACCACCACTGCACATCTGCACATGCAAGGCCGGTATTTTACTACGGAGCCTGCGCTGGCGATGCCCGTTCTAGGATTGCGTGTAAGAACACAAGTGAGCATCTACTCCTTCGAGCGTGAATGATTCGCTCCCAGCGTTTGGGAAGCATCTGACATCTGCCTCCAAGCAAAGCCTGGTAGTAGTCGGGTTGGGCGGACACCCTCGCGAGGCGATACGGACTTGATATGTGTGGTCGGTGTTACGAGTTTCATCGTCTGTATCGTCGAGACCGATGCCATCTCGCTGTGATCATCAGCGAGAGTGGCGGTTGGTGCATGTTCTTGAATGTGACGAAGACGCCCCGGTTGAGAATTGGAAGGTGTGGAGCCTGGGCTTGGAGAATTCCCGGTGGATGGCCGAAGCGATTGTGGAAGATTATACTAGGAGCGAGCAGACGACGGTTGAACACAGTCGAGCAGCGTAGAGGGCAGTGGCCGAAGGACTTCGCATCGATGTCCGATTAGTACGACCGCTCCCCCTGCATTCGATCTTCGTCTTCGAGCGATGAGGTGGATTGGAAACGGCAAGGTCCAAGTCGGTAAGGAGAGACAGAACAGATGGAGTGGTTGTGACTATAGAGGTACGGTGAGATTGGTGTCTCTTGCACCTGCGACGTAAGTAGATGTATACATCTGGCTTAGGGAAAAAGACCCTGATGCATCATAAGAGACAAATGAACGGAACACTTGCTTGAAGGCGCGTAAAGCACGGAGAGGTATCTGCGCCAATAACGCCAGCTAAGCGAGCGGCCCGTCTTGAGGTTCGTTGCGGGGGATCTTCTTGAGCTGTAGGGCACAGTATCATTATGCTCGTCCGATCCCCGTGGTCCTTGATATGGGAATAGACCGACTTCTGACTCCCTTGGGTAAAATCGATGTAGAAGGTCCAGCGTAGCTCGGTGTGACGCCAGATGACCCTCAGGCTTCAAAGTCGCGCGCTGGCATGTCGCTATCATTAGGAATCTGGTATACTGGTGGGTGCGAGAACTGTCACTCGTGAACTATTGCGCATTAAAAAGCGTGAGGATAAAGGGACCATGGTGGTCAAGAATTATGAGACAAGGCTCAACTCAGCATCGTGGTCAATTATGCTCGGACGAGCCAGATGCACGTATTGAAGGTGGCACGTAGACTTTCCCTTTCAGATACGGTACTATTCAGGGTAGATCTCCGTGCGTTGTCGAGTAAGGGTCAAAATACAGTATGTGTGTTTAGCGAATCAAAAAGGAAGTTGCATTACGTGACAGGGCCTGACCGGGAATTGAACCCGGGACCTCCTCCAGATTGCTCGTTGAAGCCCTAAGAAGGAATCATACTACTAGACCATCAGGCCGATAGAAGTGACTCTCTTTGTATAATTATAGGCCATTCAATGATGTGTCAAGTATCAATGACAGCACCGTATGCGCGACTATGCATCTTCAAAAGCTGCCTGAATCCGTATACGACGTCGTGTGCCTCTTTGCGCATGCGCAAGCGTAGGCAGAAACATCGACAACGACGACGGAAACGGCGGAAGACCTAACGAGCGCCGCACAGACCCTTGGCCATTATAACAGGGCGCAGCGCGCACGCTCTCAGCCTCGCTTCTGGCGCAGAGACAGACTGCGCGGGCGGCTGCGGCTAGTACGATAAGACCTGTCATATGACAGCATAAGGATATGGCATATGGGATAGCGTGAGGCGGGCGGTATAGCACTGGTGATCGAGGATCCGCTGTCTTGCTCGCGATCCGGTGGGATGGGCGTTGCGTGGGCGGGAGGCGGAAGCTTGATACATAGTGCGCGGGAGGTCGTATCTTGTACGTATCACTGTAGTACCGTACCCGAGATAGCTCGCTTGCAGGGATAAGGGAGGGTACAGTAGGAATGTTGATGGGCCATAGTGTCACGCAATCAACAAAGCCCATCACGTCGTCGACGATGGGCGTCAAAAGCCAAGTCCTCTCAAATCGGGCGCGCAACGCGTCAATCGCAAGAGCCGTGCGCACACGAGTTTTTTCCTCCTTAGTAGCACGGGCCCACAAAAAGGCGCCGGTGTCCTAGGGCGCAGAGAGCCATCATCGTCGCAACGGGAGAAGAAAGGCGAGCGCGTGAAAAAGAGTGTTAGCAGAAACCAAGCGCGTGAGGCGTGACTTTGCGCACGACGGCCACAGGCTGAGGCCCACTGCACCGATGCCGTTCGACCCCGTGCGGGACGCCGTCCAGAACACGCCGCCCGTCCCCCACGCACCCCCAGCATCAGCCCCGCGCCGCGCATCGGACATCGCCTCTCTCCTCAACTCCTCCTCATCAAATAACAATGCGCCGTACCCGACCCCCCGCGCCGAGAGCCCGCCCGAGCGCCTCGGCAGCGCCGCCGGCGCGATCCGGCGCGCGGGATTGCCGCCGCTGAACACGCGCTCGACGCCTGTGCTCGAGAGCCCGGGCGGGATGGGCGGGCTGTTCACGCCCGTCGCCGGGTCGTCGTATACGCCCCACCCGCGCGATACGGCCACTCGCGACTCGTATTTCCCGCCGTCGAGCGCGAGCCCGGTGCACCAGCGCATGCCACCGCCTGGCCCGCCACAGGCGCACACGCACGTGTACGCGGGGGTGAGGGTGTTGCCGCCCGCGCATAATCTCGATACGACGAGCTCGCGGTCGAGGCCGAGCTCGTCGCACTCTGCCTCTGCGCCGAGTTATAATAGTATTCCGATGGCGTCGCCGCACGGGCACCCGGCGTACGCTGCGAACCAGTCACCCGTCTTTCAGCACCACGCGCCGGTGACGCAGCGCGTGAGCTTCGAGAGGGGCGGGAGCGAGCGCCCGCGGTCGAGCTCGCATGGGAGCGCCGCGAGCGATACTGTCGTTGGCGGGAATGTTGGCGGTGGGGCGAGGCCGGGGAGCGGGCGGGGGTACGAGGGAAGGCAGAGGAGCGAGAGCGAGAGGGCGCCGTTTGCACGGTTTGGAGGGACGCCGGACAGTCCGGGCGTGCCGCAGGGGTATGTCAGGCAGAGAGCGGGCTCGCCGACGCCGGGGATGCAGAGGGGGTTTGTTGCTGTTAGTCCGCAGGATATGGGCAGGCAGGTGCGCGTATTTCATTGCATGCTTTTCTGATCTTTTGCTAACTGATGTAACATTACTCCCCTCTACTGGATTTTGTAGCCGACAATGCAACAACGACAGTCCGATCCCCCGCCACACCCCTCAAGACGACCATCCGCGTCGTACGCCACACCTCCGCCAGGCACGTACGCGAACCGCAAGCCGCCCTCGCCCTCGTCTATCCCGCCTATGCGGCGCCACGAGTCTGTGCCCCAGATCCATCCCCAGCATCAGCAGCCGCCACCTCAACATCAACAACCGCGAACGCCGGTACAACAGGGCCCGCCGCAACATCATCCTCACGCGACCCAACAACCACCCCCGCCACAACAACAGCAACAACAACAACCATACGCCCGCCGCCCCTCCACAGCAGACCTATCCCCGAATGAGCGCCGCGCGCTCTCCCTCGCAAACGCGCAGTTCGAAGCCGAACAGGCCGCCCGCGTGCGCTCCATGTCCATGTCCATGTCGGCCGAGAGGAGTATGAGCAATGAGGAGATGGCGGCGATGGCGGCGGCGAAGAGGGTTTATGAGGAGGAGGAGCGGAGGAGGTTTGAGGGTGAGGTTGAGGAGGAGAGGAGGTGGGTGGCAGAGGGGGAGGCGCAGGGGAGGGTCAGGGCTAGGGAGAGCGCTGTGAGGGATAGTGGGCGCGATGACAGGATGGGCAGGAGTAGGGAGGACAGTAGGAGCGCGCCGCAGTGGATGAGTGGTTCTGGAGGACCGATTGGAGGACCTCAAGCTGGACCATCTCAACCACAACCACACCCCCGCGACCGCCCTCAAAAACCGGCGTCGTCGGGTCCTGTCCTACCATCATCATCAGGACCCGCTCTCCCCGCTATGCCTACCTTGTCCGGCATGATAATTCCAACATCGAGCGGGACAAGACCTGTTCTGCCATTCGCCACGGGCCCAACTATGCCGATCCCGTCGGTGTCGCCTGTGCGGAGGTCGCCGCCTGCGACGGATAGACAGCCTGCGCGCAAAAGGGCGAGGCGTGAGGAGCCGGAGCGTGAGGCGATGGACGTTGATAGACCGTCGCCGCCTCCGGCGCGTGGGGCGTCGTCGAGTTCGACGATGCCTACGCCTACTTCTCAGATTCCACCTCCAGTCCAACCACAAATCCCACCGCCCATCCAGCCCTTCACGGCGCCCATCCAGCCCTTCACAGCGCCAATCCCTCCGCCCGTAACACCAGCCAACCACGACGCCCACGGCGCAGGTATAGACAGGCGACCGCCCTCGCCGGTCAAAAACGTGCAGAGCGCGGCGAGCATTGCGAGGGCGGAGGCCGATGCTACGCCCACGCCCCATCCGCACCACCCGCACCCAAACCACGCGCCGCAACGGCCGAACACCGCGCCGCAACAACCGAACACCGCGCCGCAAATAGCCGACGGAGCATTACCTACGCGCGCGCCACACGTCACGACCACCACAACCGTCGCTGCTCCGGCTCCGGGCAACTCGGTTCAGACGCCCACGAGTGCCACGCCTACGCCTACGTCCTCTACGACGACTACTGCGTCTGGGTCTACGCCTACTCCGACGATGAACGTCCCGCCGCCGATGTCGGCTATTCCTATGCCCGTCATGCCAGCTCAGCCACACCCACCCCCAACCACCGCCGCGAGTAACTCGAGAAGAAACCCGCCGCCGCTCACAGCGGCCAACCTCCCCGTGCCGATCGTCGCAGCGGGCAAAAAGCCGCCGCCGGTCGTGCTGTCGCCCGTCGTGCCGGCGCGGCCGTTTGTGGGCGGGATGGTGGAGGACGAGTCGCCTTCTGTGCCGGGTGGGGCGTTTGTGGGTGGGATGGTTGAGGATGATGGGGCTGGTAATGGAGGTGGTGGTGAGGGAAGGGGAGGGGGAGGGGTGAGTGAGGAGAGGGTTGGGAGGGGGATTACGAGGAGGCGGAAGACGACTACGAACGCGGGGACGGCGGGGATGGTGCACCCGTTGCCGGCTACGCCTCAGCCGCTCTCGCGTGCGCCTTCATACACACAACAGCAACAACAGCCCTCTCGGGCTTCCTCTCGCCCACCTTCACAACCCCAACCCCAAGCACATACACAGCAACCTCAGCAGCGCGTACAAACGCAACCGACGACAAGACCGTACAACCCCCGCCGCCGCACACCCGCCACGTCTGTCATGATCCCGCTCACGTCCGACGAGCTCGCGATGTACAGGGCGCAGCTTGGTAGAGGCACGGCGAGGCTCGCGAAGAGGCGGCGGGCGCTGGATGAGTTTGAGGTTGATTTGGGCGTGGACGATGGGGCGGGGGCGGGGGTTGTTACGGGTGGAGGTGGGAGTGTTAATGGTGGCGGAGGTGGAGGGGGAGAAGGTGGTGGTGCAATGGGAGGAGGGGGTATGGGAGGGGGAGGGCAAGGAGGGGCGAAGGGGAAGAGGAGCAAAGACGTCGTGAGCGTCGTCGAGCACTGTACGTCCACCCTCATTTCTCCCTTTATCTTCTTAACTAATCAACACCACAGACAACGCCCGCCCGAACCAAGCCGTCTCCGCCCGCCAGCTCTCGCCCATCATCGGCCTGCGCAACTTCAACAACTGGATAAAATCCGTTTTGATCTCTGCGTTCGCTTTGCCCGCGCTGCAGGCGAGCGGGACGCAGAGCACGCACCGTAACCCGCTGCGGGGGAGGGTGCTGGACGTCGGGTGTGGCAAGGGCGGCGATCTGAGCAAGTGGCACCGCGCGCGGATCGCGGAGTATGTCGGGCTGGATATCGCTGCGATATCGGTGAACCAGGCGAAGGAGCGGCACAACTGTACGTCCCGCACCCCTCCTCTTCTTCCCTTTCTGCTCGACGTCGTGTGATGCAATGCTGATATGATGGATGGATGATGCAGCGCTCCGCCCGCCGAAGTTCGACGCGTTCTTCGGCGCGCTGGACTGCTTCACGCACGCGCTCGAGCGCGCGGTGCCCGCGCACGACCTCCGCGCGCCCTTCGACGTCGTCTCGCTGCAGTTCTGCATGCACTACGCGTTCGAGTCCGAGGGCAAGGTCCGGCGCATGCTCGAGAACGTCGCGGGGCGCCTGCGCGTCGGCGGGCGCGTCGTCGGGACCGTGCCGAACGACGAGCTGCTGCTTGGGCGGCTGGCGGACGGGGAGAAGAGCTGGGGGAATAGTGTGTGTCGGATTACGTTTGAGGAGGGGGAGAGTGTTGAGGGGGTTGAGGGAGGAGG